AGGCAGGTGCCATGCTTGCCCCTTTTTGGCCTGCCCCCTGACCCTTCCCGCGGTGCCCGCCGTGGGCGTTGCATGATGTGAACCATGGTTTTTAAAGTCCTGTTCCCCTTGCCCCCCTCCTTGTGCCCGCTCCCCCATGCCCACTGCAAACTGTGGGCAGGGGCTGGGCAAGGCGGGCTCTGGCGCTCGCCAGAATGAGAAGCACAGAGTTTGCACCCGTACTGGTTTTTTTCTCCCCATCCCCATCCCCTTGCCAGGCAAGGACCAGGCCCCTTGGCAATGGGGGGTCCCCTGAACCCTGATGCCCATCTTGAGGGCAGTTGGCGAGGGGGGCAGCTGTTTCTTGTGGTCGTGTGTGTTTAATTGTTGGGGTATCCAAAAGACGCTGGGGTTCCTGAGCAAGTGGGTAAGGCCAGGGAGAGGGGGGTCCTGGGGGGCCAGGGCGCCATGGGCTGGCCCTGGCTTCCTGGCACCATGGCCCCATCCCCCCACCTCCCTGTACAGCCTGTCTCCCCCCTTGCCTGCCTCTACTGTGGATCACCCTGTTCTGTGTATTAAATCGGGCCTGGCCCTGCTGCGCCCTGGCCGCTGCCTCCTTCTGTCGGCGCCCTGTTGGGGTGGGGAAGGCAGGAAGGAGAGAGGGAGGAGGCGAGGGCCCTAGTCCAGCTTTTGTCTGTTTCTTTTCCTTGACTCATCTTTCTTCCCATCTTCCTCCAGTCTCTTTCCCTAACACCTCCAGTCTCCCTCCAGGCTATCATGCCACCTCCTCTTGGGTCTCCCTCCCCAACACCCCATTTCCTCTTCTTTCTCTTTTCCTTCCCCAGACCCTCCCTATCACCCCTCTCCCCCACTTTCCTCCAGTCTCTTCCTGTTACCGCCCCAAGTCTCTCCAACACCCCATTTCTCTAGTGTTCATCATCAGCCATACCCTTCCCTTCTTTCCGTCTCTCTCCCCATCCCCCTCCGTCGCTCCTTGTCTCCCCATATTCCTCCAATCCTCATCTCTTCTCTCCCTGCTTCTCCCCATCTCCCGCCCTGACTCCATCCCCCACCCCCTCCTGCCTTGCTGGTAAGAGAAGGGAAGGGGAGGGGGGATGGGGTGATAAGAGACTGCAGCACCCCCCCCCCACATCCAACCAGCTGTGGTCGCCCTGGCAACGGGCAGCTGCTGCAGCAAGAGACAGAGACAGAGGGTGGGAAGTGGGAGAAGGGATTGTTGGGGGGGGCGTGTAGGGAGAGCAGCAACCAGTCCAGTCCTGCAGGCTCCCCGAATCAGTATCATGTCCCCACACTGTTCACCTTGCTGCTGGTAGGGAGACAGAGCGTGTGTGTAGGCAGCAGTCCATCCTTCACCTTCACCCCCAAGCAGCCAAGGGTAGGGCGAAAGATAGAGAGAGGAGAGGGGGAAGGGGGGAAGATAGATTAGGAGAGGCCACGAACAGTGCAAGTGACCTAGCAAGGGAGAGACAGGCAAATAGACAGAGGGCAAGGGAAAGTGGTCAGGTCCGGAAGAGACAGATGCAGATGGCATGGAGGGGAGAGAGGGAGAGCAGGAGACCCAAGGAAAGCAGTCAGCGCAGAGAGAGAGAAAGAGGCAGGAAGGTCAGGTGGTGGTGATGGCAGGATCAGGGGACAGAGGGTCAGACTCCGGAGAGGGCAGTACTGAAAACTGGGGGCCCAGATGGAAGGAGACACCCAGAACGCTTGGCAAAGTCAAATGCCACAGACTAGAGAGAGGGCGTCCACGAGAAGCAGATGGAGAGATGAGGTGGAGGGTAAGGAGACAGGCTGCGAGTGAGGGTGTGTTTGGGAGATGCTGGGTACTGCAACCTGGAGGTGAATTTCACATTCCTACCAAATCTCCAGACTGGAGCTAGACTCCTTGGGGGCACGAGACCCTGCCCCTCCCCTTGAAATGCAGAGACACAGAGGATGTCTGCGGGAATGGGGGAAGCTGGTACAGTGGCCTGGGTGCTGGCGCCCCAGGGTCTGAGTTTCCCTTATGTGTGCTACTGGCCCAGGGAGCCTCCAAGGTCTTTTCAGGTCTGCTATTTTAAGATGTTATTTCCAGAAGTTCTGTTCTGGATAACTTTCTGGCTGAAACATTCCTGCAGGGGAGGTAACGTGTTGAAATCCACTGTGGCCCTCTGATAATGGATGGGTTCAGGAAAGAGACCATTTGGGCCATCACTGACAGAGTCTGGAGCTCAAGACCTCCCTAGGAGACTTCCCGATGGACCTCAACACTTGCTGCTTAGGCATGGGCCCTCAGCTGGCTACCTGGCAGTGGGAACAGAACCATTCACACTCATCCTGGGGAGGTCAGTTTGTGGTCAACATGAAAGCTCCGCTTGTGGGTGGCTTAGGGATCAGATAGGTCAGGGTTAGAGAACTGGTTTGGGACCTGCCACTCTGTGGCCAGGGGTCAGATGAATCTGAATGCAGCTGAGGCCTGGTTTCCAGGTTTTTCTGTGCTTAGAGATTTGCCCAGGACTGATCCACTGGCAGGACTGGGCAGGTTTGAGACCACCATTCTGGGACCTAGGCTAGGAGTCTGTGGGTGGTTGGCACTCAAGCTAGGGATAGATTCCAGTCCATTAGCAGGAAAGAGAACTGGCCTGACCCAGGACAGCAGCCATCCTGATGCTCTCCATGCCTGAGGATCCCAAGGGCAGGATAGGGTCTGCTGGCCAGCCATGGAACAGAAACTCATGGAACGACACCAAGAACTTGCCAATGTAGGAGTGGCGGGGGTGGAGAGGAAACCAGTCTGTTAGGTAGCTGGCTTCATTCCCCGTCCCAAACCTACCCACTGTGACGAGCACTTCCTTGAAGAGGCAGTGGGCCAGGACCAGGGCCAGTACTCAAAAGGCGACAGTAGGCTGGAGAAATAAGATCAGACTTAGTTGGAAGGGGTCATCTTGTCCAGCTCCGGTTAGAAGCACACCTGGGATGCCAGACCCTGCTTGCCCAGCTCACAAGATGGGGCACTCCCTCTTCCTCTGGAAGCCTGTGCAGTCATTAGAGCGCTCTCCTTTACAAAGAAGCAGCCAGTGTGGGCCCGGGGCGTTCGAGCAGATGCCGCCAGAGGTGGGCTCGCCAGGCTCTCTCGATTTGTATCCCAGGCACCCAGGCAGCAAGAACAAGCAATTTCTATGAAACGTTTATTTCCTCTGAAACTTCCAGAAACAAAACCCCTAATCTCAAGACTGGGGGAAATAACAATGACAAAAAAAGAAAGTACCCACCCACCCACCCTTCCAATAAAAAACAAAAAAACCCAGTCGACATAGGAAAAGGTGCTGCTGTCAACCGTCAGGAAGAATGTCAGGGCAAAATTAAATAGACAGATTTTATCTGTATAGATCCTCACAAAATGACAACAAAAAACCGCACCAGCCGTAATTTACACTTGGTCAATGTATACAATCATGCCCCAGAATGATCTGAATGATCCCTACACATGAGGAGGGGTGGGGGGAAACAAAAGCATATGGAAGGTGGGGGCCCTGCTAGGGAGATCCCAGAGAGAGGGGCCAGGAGGGACATTGCAGTAAGGCCACTGGGCCAGGAATGGGAGGGCCAGGGGCAGCTTCAACCACACTCGCCAGGGCCTCCCTGGTGCCCATCTGGTGGGGCAAGGGCAGGGGGAGGGGCAGCTAGATTTATGGATACATCTTCCCATCTCCAATATTTTATCCCCTGCTCTCTCTCATCTAATCAGGACGGAGCTGGTTTGAAACTGAAGGGGCCTAATTACATTGGAGAAAGATGTGGTTAATACCCCTTCCCCTTCCCCCCTGCCTGATGAACCCTTCCTGCACCAGGGAGACGGCCTCATCAAGGGGAGGGTGAGAGACAAATGCTGGGGTGGGGGCGCTGCTTTGGGGTCCTGAGGGCACCAGATCTGCCTGTGGCCATGTCAGGGGAGGAAGAGGAGACCCGGGATCTCTTGCTAAGCACACCCCTCTGTTCCAGATGAGGACCAGAGGATTCTTTGGAGGAAAAAACCAGTCTAGCCGCAGCCCGAGTCTCCAGACCCCAACGTGGCTTTCTTTGACTCTGGGCCACGGAAGCCGCGGGAGCCTCCAGGGCTCCCAAGACCGGCTGCCCCTTGCTGTGCTGTCCTCCTCAAGCCTCAGGGGCCTGGGGCTGCGAGCGGCCCGGGGTGTCTCAGGGCAAGGCCCAGCTTGGGGTGGGTTGTAGATTGCGTCCTCAGCATGAGGCTGGAAATAGATCCACAGAGGATTACTATTGAATTGTTCCGTGGTGGCTTTGCATGAAAAAATAAATATATATTATATTTATACTTTTTTCTTTAAAGAAAAAAAAAAACCAGCTGCTCTTTTCCTAAGCTTCCAGCGTAGTACCACATGTAGCTGCCGGGCCGGTGCGCAGGCCTGCCGCCCGGCCCCTCATTCCTTATTGCCTCAGACAAGCTGCAGGCAGCGAAGGAGGGGCTGCCTTGGGGGGCACTAGCTCCACAGTGTGTGTCCTACACGAGCAGGCCTGAAGCCTCACCCAGAGCCCAATGAGTCTGGTGGCTTTCCAAGGAAAAAAGAGGAAAGAAAAGTCCTTTCTAACCCTCCCACTCCAGCCCCTCCTTAGCAGGGGAAGAGATGGGGGGGCGGGGTTTAGACCCCACGTTCAGGAAAATGAAGGAAGTGGGGCTCAGGGAGAGCTCGGGATGGGGGACAAAGGCCACCTGCAGCCTCACCACGGGCCCCAGAGACCCCAGGCCTCAGCCACAGTCTGGATTCAGTAGTTTGGCATCAGTGCTGAGCAGGCTCTGAGGGGCGGGGGGAAGGAGGAACGGGTAAGCCCGTCAGCAGCCCCAACCCCACCCTTTGGTTCCAGGACCACCCAGCCAAGCAGGCCGCCCATGGCGGCTAGACAAGTCTCATAGAAAAAAAAGGCTACAAACTGTCCTATTTGTACAAATATAGTGTTTCTCTCTTTCTCTCTCTCTTTCTCAATAAAGAACATTTACACTCTGAACATTGGGATTTCTCCATCTTGGGTTTACTAGAAAGTACTTTAGCTTGGAAAAAAGTGCTCCGAGGTTTTTCGGAAACTTGATGGTAGGGGGCAGGTGGGGGGAGGCGTGCCCCCAGCCTGCCCCTACCCTCCCAGTTGGTCCAAAGGGTTTCTATATTGCGTCAGAACTCAATACACCAAGGGCTGGCCAGTGGGTTCAAGGTTTCATGACAGTGGGGAGGACTGGTCACTAGTGTGGCTCCACTGCCCCAAGGGCCTCTGGGTAGGGGAGCCCAGGTGACTCCGAGGACCCCATCTCCACCCCGCCTGCCTCCGGGACAGCCTGGCACCCTGTGCCGCCCGAGGGCGGAGGGGGGGTGGGGGAGGGGCAGGGCCCAGCAGTCCCTGCCTTCAGGTCTCCTTCTTCTCCACTGCGCTGGAGAAGATCTCCGCAAACCTCCGCAGCTGCTCATTGGCCGCCTGCGATTCCTCCTGCAGCCGCTGGTTGTTCTGCCTCAAGGTGGCCACCTCAGTCTGCAGGACCACCTTGTCCTGTTTCTCCTACAGAGAACAAACGCCGTGAGGGGCGGGCAGAAGGGGCGGGATGCAGAGGGCCGCGTGACATCTGTGGGGCCGGGGAAGCGACAGGCTGGTAATCTGCCATCTTATGGGGGGGCATGGAGGAGGAATGTGGGATTCTAGAGCTAGTCCAGAGAGGGCAAGGTACCTACCTCCCCAAGGTCACACAGCAAAGGAAAGAATAGCTGAGGTGAGACTTGCACCCGGACCCAGTCCCCGGTACCCAGTACTCTCACCTTCTGAAGGTCACTGTGCAGCTGCCTCAGCATCACTTCTAGCTGGTACACCTTCCCAGGCAGGTCCACAGGGGGCTCCTCGCTGAAGGGAGGGGAGAGGCAGAGTCAGTCCTGCAGCCACTGACGCCCACATCGGCCCATCGGATTTGGGCCAGGTTTTTAGGGGAGACGGTCGTCCCCTGCCAGCCCCCAAAGGGCCACATGTCCTCTCGTATGAGGACGTAGACATTAAAGCCTCACGACAACCCTACTGTGATCCCCATTTCACAGATGAGGAAACTGAGGCACAGAGTGCCTCAAGTGCGTAAGAGTCTGGGCATGGATTTGAACTCAGGTCTTCCTGTCTCCCAGTCCAGGGCGTGGGGCACCACACCATCATCTTCCCTTCTCAGCCCCCATCTCTGGGCACTGCTGAGGTTCAGGGGCCCGCTGTGGCATCTGCGTATGTTAGACACAATGACCCGAGTGCCAGGAGGGCTCTCCGGCGCCCCTGCATCTTCTTCGATACACTTCAAGCCCACCTTCCTGTAACCGTGGGAGGCCGCGTCTTCTTCCTCACGTGTCTACAAAGCAGTTTCCCAATACGTCCCCTGCCCTGGGAAGTCCTGCTCTATACCAAACCTCCAGGGCCCTCTCCTAAGAGTGGAAGTCCAAGGAGGGGCGGCGCAAGGAACTCTGGGTGAGAGGAAGGAGTCATCCCCCGAGCCTCCCTCTTTGGCTCCTACTGCTTTGGAGTTTGGCCCCCACAGGCGAGAATGCTGTTCCCTGCCAGCTTCTCATTAGCTCTGGCCTGGGGCCCCTGGGGATGCCGGCCATGTTCTAGGTCATGGGAACCACAGACCGGAGATGTGCTGAGAAGGCCTGCTGGGGGTGGGTGACCAGTGGACCGGTGATGTGACCTCTGTGTCTGGTGCCCTGCACTGGGCCTCCTGTCATGGAGGTTTGCTCCAGAGCCCCTGGGTTAGTGAGGAGCGCAGGGGAAGGAAGATGCAGAAAACAAAGAACACTGTCAGCCTCGGGGTGGGCGACAGGGCCCCTCTTCTCTTCCGCCTGGGCCTGGAGGCCCAAGACACACACGGTATGGTGCGCCCTGGCCACAACGGCAGAGGGGGATCCCAGAGTCTCTTCCTGAAGGCAGGGTGGGGGGAGCTTGTTCTGTCTCTCCCACCAGAGTGCCACTGCCCCCGGTGAAAAGGGCCCTGGGGGACTGGCACGTGCCTTTGTGAGGATCTTACACGACTTCACATCAGGTCAGGCGGGTGCAGTCAGAGGGCCAGGGGCCTGACCCCAGCCAGGCTCCAGTCTTCTGAGGAGACCAAAATCCACCCCACAGCCCCTAGGCAGCAAGTCCCAGAAGAGCCGGCTGTGCCAGCTTCCTGGAAACAGGCACGTGCACTGGACGGAACCCTTATGGCTGCTCTCAATCCATCTGTCCTGAGCAGAGGTCTGGGATAAAGCCTCCAGCACCTCCTCAGGCAGCCTGACACCCAGCAAGTCTGGATTCCAGACAGAAAGGATGACCAGGTCATCCAGTCCAGTCCCCTGCCTTCAAGCTATCTGGCTGCTCCTGGATTTCCCCAAAGACTCATGGATCAAAGTGGGGGTGGCGGGAAGGGAACAGCTTCTGCCAGCTGCCTGGGACTCAGGTTCCAGGTGGTCTAGAAAACAAATTCTTCTCTGCCTCAGACCAAAGATGAGCGAGGTACAGAGGGCTGGAAGATATCCAAGAACCACGGAAGATGGGAACCTGAGGCGGGTCTGGACCCTGAAACAGGAGTAGCCACTTGGAAGCCGCACGAACAAGGGGGCACTAAGAGCAAAGTGGGAATGGCGGAAGCCCAGCCCCGACTTGGGAGGCCAGTGTGCCTGGGAAGGAGACCTGGGCATTTCTATCTTAGAGGGGGCGGCACAGACAGGATCCCCTTGCTGGGAATCCAATGAGAGGGGAAGACCTCCAATTTCTGGAAGAATAAGGAGGGCTGAGGGGCAGTGGCACCCCTACTGGGCCTGAAGCTCTGGGCTGCCATGGCCAACTCTCACCGCTAGATGTCCCCCTTTGGTGCCCAACACATAGACAAAGGCCTGCCCCCTAATTTGGCATACGGATCCCACGGGTAGGCATGTGGCTCATAAAGACATTCCTATCTGGTTATTGGGTTTCCTGAAATTGAGCCCAGCCAGATTCCTGGGCTGGCAGACCAGACGACCGGTTCCTGTCCCAACCCATGGCTACGATGAGTCACCCCAACATGGAAGGTGCAGCTCTCTGCCTGCTTGGTCCCTGGCACCAGTGTGGCTCCATGCCTGGGCCTGTGGGAAGGAATGGAGGCTAGCTGGGGTCAGGCTTGACTAAAGCGGAGCCCGTCGGGGGCCCAGGGCTCTCCAGGAGATGTGGCGGAGATGAATGAGATGGAAGGCTCTTGGCTGCCTGCTTCCATTGAAGCCTGGGAACCTCACCAGGCCTAGAGAGGCCAAGGGAGGAGAAACAAACTGGCCCAGTGATGAGCTTTGGGGGCTGGGAATGAGGGCAGCCCAGGAGGACGGATTACAGGGTCATGGTATCTGACCTCAGTGAGGCCCTCACGGCCACTGCACCCTCCCCGATTCCTGCCATCCACTCGTCCTTCCCTCAATTCCTGCTGCCCATCCACCTTTTCCCTCTTTTTTCCTCTAATGGTCTTATTTCATTTAGAAAAATATTTTAAAATCTTTTTGAAACTTTTGCTTCATGTTTCCTAAGAATCTAGCTGAATGTGTCTAAGCTGCATTTTTCTCCGAGGCTTTGTTTATAGACATTTTGGAGTCATTCCCTCCTTCTGCATTTATGTTTTGAGTGTTCCTGATATCATGATAGCTTATTATGGCCAGGTTCTTTTTTTATTTGCCCGTTTTTCTGTCTACTTTTCGACTTCTAATCAGACACTAGGGCTGGGCTTCGCCACCCTTCTGGACGGAAGGTCTAGGCTGGTCCTGCCGCTGCCTCCTTGGGGTATTGGGTGTTGGGTTATTCCAGAATTTGGGGCATAGGTTAGAGACCTGTAAGCTTTCAGTGCTCTCCAAATGGTCTGCTCCAGGGCGAAATCTGATCATCGCCCCTTGGTCTGAGCTCTGCAAGCTTCCGACCTGGGGTCGGGTCTTAGCAAGAGCAGATGCTGCTGGGCTCTGGCCGTATCAGCCAGCTGAGTGGCTCTGCTGTTTGGTCTGGGATTCCTGCCGCAGTTATTCCTAGCAGGCTTCAGACAGGGCTAAAACTAGACCCAAGCCCTGGCTCTGCCCCTGGGGTTGAAGCCATGCTGCTGCCCGCTCTGGTCACCAGCGAGGGTCAGGCACCGCCCCTTCTTGGTTTGTATATTCCACAGACCTCTCTGTCCATCGCCCTGAGCTGATCTAGGCTAGAAAAACGCCTCCTCCTGACTGTCTTGGATTTTCCCACCACTACTCAGCCTGGCGTGTTTTCTAGGTCTCTTTGGAAGACTTTGGGGGGAGCTCACTGCACTGCTAACTGCTCCTCTGCCATCCTCCTCATCTCTCCCCTGCCCTAACTAGGCAAACTTCTTTCCTCTTCTCATGCTCACCCACAGCCCTGGGCCTCCCTCCATCTTTCCAACCCTCAGCCAATGAACTGCCTCTTGTTTTTCCAAGAAGACAGAGCCCACAGTTCACACCGGGTGTGAACTCACTCGGCTCCCCTTATTCTCCGCTGATTCCTCTTGTATCTGCACCTTGAGCCTTCCAGGCCTTGCCTGGCGGTTGAGATGTCGAGAGGTGGCTTTGTGGGTAGAGCACCAGACTTAAGGGTCAGAAAGACCTGAGTTCAAATCTGACCTCAGATACTTGCTGTGTGCCTCTGGGCAAGTCACTTAAACCCCGTCTGCCTCAGTATCCTCATCTGTTGAACAGGAATAACAACAGCGCCTATACCCCAAGGTTATTGTGTGGATCAAATGAGGTATTTGTAAAGAGGTTTGCAAACCTTAAAGTGCCGCAGAAATGCTGACTATTCTTGTTATTAACCCCATTTCCTTCCTCAGCCATGCCCCACCCCCCCAATCCTAAAACATCCACCTTCTTACAGAGAGATGACATGTCATGTCCTTTGCTCAAAGACCTGCGCTGGCTCCCTACTTCCCACCCACAGAGGAGAGGTACAACTGAACCGCCTCCACCAGGTCTCTCTCCAGGATCATGTAAAAAGTGCCTTCAAAGCCTTTCCTAACCTGCCCCCCTCCCTTTCTTGGCTCCCCCCACCCACCCACTCTCCCATCCAGTGCCCCTGACCTCCTGGCTGTTCCATGAACGAGACCCTCCACCTCTCGGCTCAGTCCCCCATGCCTGTTCTCTCTCCTCCCTCAGTTCTCTCTTGCCGTCTCCCAGGCCTGGACCACTCTCCCCCCTCTGCTCTGACCACTGACCTTCCTGGCTCCTTTTAAGTCCCAGCAAGCCTTCCCTAGCCTCTCTTCATCCTAATGCCTCCCATCTGTTAACTACCCTGTTTATCCTGGATAGAGCTTGCTATGTGCATTGTGTGTCCTCCAGCAGACTGTGACTGTCTTTTGCCTCTTTTTGTACGCCCCGTGCTTAGCACAGTGCCTGGCACACAGTCGGTGCTTAATAAATGCTTGCTGACTGACAAACACTCTCTTTGCCCGCTAAACCCCAAGGCTGTGCCCCCTCCTGCCCTGTGTCTCAGAACCTTTGGGTTCCTTCAGAGTCCTGCCTCGATGCCACCCCAGTCTTGGCCAGTGTGGCTGGTTCTGAGTGGTTTCTCTTCTCCCAGGACCTGGGATTCCTTCCCTCACAGACCCTACAGAATGTAAGGTCCTTGAGAGGAGGGCCAGCCTCCTTCACTTTGACCTCTGCCTCCCCAGCCCCTCACCCAGTGCCCAGCCTCACTGCACTGGGATGGAAGTAGGGAGGGGCCAGCTCTTACCTAAACTTGGGCTCTTGCAGAGGGCCCTCCAGTTTGTCCTGGCTATAGCTTGTCTGTATGTAGTCTGTAAATAAACTGTAAGCCCCCTGAGGACAGGGACTGCCATGGGCCTTTCCTGGTATCCCTGGCACACAGTAGGTGTTTAACGCTCGTTGTCATACCCTGCCCCGGTACCGGGTGGTGCCTCACCTCATTGTGGGGGTTGTTCGGGGGGTGGTGGGCGTCCTCTCCAGGCTCGAGTGAACTGGGCTGTGTGCTGGTGCAATGTTGGGGCTCAGGGCCGGGTCATTGAGAGAGAAGAGAGAGACCGCTCGCTGCACTGTTAGGGAGAGAAGACCCAGTCAGTGTGCTCTGAGGGACCTCAGGTGGAAGCCGGCCCAGAAGGGCGAGGGGAGTCTGGGGCGGCTGCTCAGGGAAGGCCCTCGGGCTCTGCTGGCTGCAGTCTGTTTACAAAGGTCCCCCGAGTTAGAAGGGGAGCTTCCGGAAAGCAGGGACGGTGAGCACAGTGCCCGGTCCGCCACAGCACCCACAAAGCATGTGGCAAATTCAACAGTCACGAGGCAGCCGAGGCCAGTTCAAAGCCATGACCGTGGACTGGGGAGCTGGGGAGGAGGGTGGAGCCCTTTTGGCCTGGGGGGAGAAAGCTGTTCCCCCGACCCCAGACACACAAGGGGGGCCTGTCTGAATGCTGGGAGGGGGCTGGTGTGTAACCATGCCACCGCTGGCTTCCCTCGTCCCAGCTGAGCACAGAAAGACTGCCGAGACTGTGGCCAGAGGGGAGCCCACCTGCCCCAGGCCTATGTCAAGGCCTAGAGAGCGCCTCGATTCTCCCCCTCCCTGGGCTGGAGGAGGAGCGAGGCCCAGCCCTGACCAGGCAGGGGAGGGGGGAACTGCTCAGCATAAAGGCAGCGCCTCCAGGCCACAGGCATAACTCCATTCAAACAAAGCCGGGGAAGGCACCGACGAGGCTGTCCCCCTCTAGAGGCTGGCCCCCTCGAGAATGTCGGGAGCAGGGTGGGCAAGCGGTGAGGGGGTGGGATGGAGCGGGGCGGGGTGTAGGAAGCTTCAGGGGATGGCTCTGCCAGCTCAGCCCCAGCCCTGCCAGGTGTAGCAGGGAACCGACTCCTACCTGCGCAGACCCTGCCCGCCTGCCTCCCTCCTCCTGGGCTGTGGGGGTCCCAAGGCCAGGTGGCCCTGCTTCGCTGCCTGTCCTCGGCAGAGGAGGGCTCATGCCAGGCCCTCTCTCCAAAGCTCCTCAAGGAGGAGGCCCAGGGCAGGGCTCCTCCAGAGGCAGCTACGTCTGACAAGCTGGGGCAGATTCCCCCGGGGGCTGCGTGCTATGTCAGACCTGAAAGGGCAGTTTCCAGAACAGAGTAGAGAGGGGCGGGTGGAGAGGAGATGGAGGCTCACTTCCTCTGCATGTCCTGCTTTCCAACCACGTATGTGGCATTTACTAATCTGCCCTGGTATTATAATTATATGTGCCCACTTCTCACCGGCTTGCCAGCCTGGGAGCAGGAGTCAATATAAAGGCTTTAGCAAATCAGCTTCTCAAGCGTAAGACAGGGGAGGTGTGGCTAGGTGGCAGGTGCACTAAGGAAGATACTGGGGGAAGAGTGGACCACATGCCCCATCAGCCAAAGTGATTTTAGGCTACATCGAAAGAAATCTCGTACCCAGGACTAGGGAGGGGGCAATCTAACCATGCTCTGACCATTTCTGGATCTCACATTATAGAAAAGACATTGGTAAGCTGGAAAGTGCCTGGAAGAGGGAAGCAGCCAGCGTGGGGAAAGGCTGCAAGGGAGCCATGCCATCAAGGGAGCACCTGAAAGGAGAAGACACGGTGGTCCAATGACCGGAAGGGCGAGAAGAGCGGGAAGGAGAACCACAGAGAAGAGTTCAGGTTGGGCATAAGACAAAAAGCTCCTCACGAGGAAAGTGGGGCAGAAGTGGGTGGCTGCCCCGGGAAGAGCCACGTGCCTTCTCTCCAGCCATCTTCAGGCAAAGGCCAGGCAACGGCCCTGGTGGGGATGGATGCTGCAGATGGCACTGCGGGTACGGGACGAACTCGATGGCCGCTGAACCAGCGAATCAGTGACTCGGTGTGACCAGCCTGCGCACCGCTGCTTGTACATGACATTAAATTTCCCACCTCCATGCCTTTGCCCACGATGTACTCCCTCCTCGCCTCTGCTCTGCCTCCTTAGTTTCCTTCAAAGCCCAGCTCAGGGGCTACCTCTTAGGCGAAGCCCGACACCATCCCACCAGCCAGCGTTCTCCCTCCTGAAAATACTCATGTACTTCTTGTCGTTCAGTTGTTTCAGTCATGACCAACTCTCCACGACCCCACTTGGGGTTTCTCGGCCAAGGTACTGGAGCGGTTTGCCACTTTCTTCTCCAGTCCATTTTACAGATGAGGAAACTGAGGCAAACAGGGTCAAGCGACTTACCCAGGCTCACACAGCGAGTATTTGACGCTGGATTTGAACTCAGGTCTTCCTGACTCCAGGCCTGGTGCCCTACCCACTGCAGTGCCATCTAGCCTCCCTTATGTACTTAGTATTTACGTATGTGTGGTAGAGTATAAACTCCTTGAGGGCAGGGCCTGGGACAACGGCAGGGGTTTAATAAGTAGTTGAAGTGAATGGAATTATCTTGGTCTTCTGTCCGGTTTCCTCCCACAGCAGCTGACCCTAGGTGCCCAAACACAACAGGCAATCCAGAAATATTTGCTGATGAAGATGCCAACTAATGGATGGTGGAAAAAAACAAGGTCAGGTCTCTTCAGATGGACTCTGACAGCACCAGCGGCTGGGGGGTGGGCAGGGAGAGCTCTGGCCAATGGCATGGCCTTCTGGGACGCTTCAGTCTCAGCCAGCAACGCCATACTCTAGTCTGGACGGGTCTGGGGATCCTGGGAAGCTGCGGGGGACACGCTGCTTTGGGGCTATGGAGATCCACTTTGGAGGAGGGTGGCACCTGCTTTATGTGGACTGGGCTGGCTTCCCTTGAAATGGAAAGAATTCTGGCTTCTGAGGCCCCGAGGCACAAAGACTCAGCCTATCAGAGATGGGCTGGTGTTTGTGATTTTCGCGGAATTCACATTCCCCTGCAGCAATGTCCTTCTGATCCAGAGCTGCTGACCGCCATAGGAAATGCTGGAGTGTGGGGGCAGGGATGGAGCGTCCCATTTTATCTGAGCTAGTGACCTATTTAACCAGGAATTATATTCTTTAAAATCTTATCAATAAAGTGTTTTATTAAATTTTATGGTCCAAGAGTGTCTCACTATATTCTAACCCTGAATCCGACTCACTGTACTGGGCCTAGCTGTGCCTGGTCCGGAGCAGGTCCCTGGAACTGAATGAGGCTGCTCCACACCAGGGAGAACCAGGGGAAGGAGACAGGCCGCCCAGGCGGGGCTGGCTCCCAAAGATACAACAGGAGATGAGGCCTTGGGCCACTGAAAGACAGCCCCCGAATTCTGAAGCTGGATACTAAGTAAGGCGTCTGCTCATGCCAATCGGATGCGGACCCCCCGGGCAGCTTGCTAAGCTTTTCACAGGTCTGCCTACAGCCCTGGCAGACGGTGCCTCTGAGGCAGAAAGCGCCTTCCCCACCGCCCCACGCTAGCACAGCATGGCTCAACGGGTGTTGGTGCCTTGCTCCCCCACCCTCCCCACAACCCCCCTCATCCTCCATGGCCAGCCTGAAGCTGTGCTTTCTGTTTGGCAGAGGAGAGTGGCAGGCCTTTCTAAAGAGCCTTTCAGGGAATGGTCTGTGGGTCGGGAGGTGACGTGCCCAGGCTAGTTCAGGCCAAGCAGGTCACCCTGGAGATCCTCTAGCTAGGTGAGCCGCTTCTGAGCTAAGCTCCCATTACTCCTTCCTTTACCCCAAATATAAATGGATCAGAGTGGACAGAGTGCTGGACTTGGAGTTAAGAAGACCTGTTTTCAAATTCAGCCTCAGACACTTACTACTAGCTGTGTGACCCTGGGCAATCACTTCACCTCTGTCTGCCTCTGTTTCCTCAACTGTAAAATTTGGGCATAAAAACAGCACCTACCTCCCAGGTGAGGATAAATGAGAGGTTATTTGTAAAGTGCTTAGCACAGTGCCCGGCACATAGTAGGTGCTTAACAAAAGCTTGTTTCCCTCCTATTAAAGTGGTTGGGGCTGGGTAAAGTCTGGCCACCGCTGACTTAGGCCACCCAAAAAAGGCCCTACAGAACTCCAACAGTGGACGCCCAGCACCCACAGGGAGACGAGTTTATTCACTGAAAGCAGGAGAATGAACACCCACGAGGTGTTCCTGGAGGCTCCTACTACCCCTGGGTATTCAAAGACCATCCCCCTGGCGATAGGATGGGCTGCATCCATCGGATCTGGAACACCATGCTCTACAAAAGCAGTGACTTGTATATGGCGACGTGGCGGGCACCTCAGGGGGAGAGCCAGTGAACGTGCTGGTGGGGGAGAGCTTACCTTCATAGGCCTTCGCGGCATTGACCAGACTGGACCACTCCAGGCCAGAAGCGGTGTCAGGGAGGGGCATCATGCCAGGGTCCAGGCGCCTCACTGGCCGGTCCCGCACGTCAGTCAAGGAGAGCTCCGAGGAAGAGATGGTGGCTGGCAAGCAGAACGGGGGGAGGGGGGCTGGATGAAGGCACTGACCTGGGCACCGCTAACGGACCGAGGGGACCTGACCCTTTCTGCCTCTGGCCCTCCTCAGGGTCCCTGTCTCCCTGGACTCAATCAGAGCAGCAGCTCAGGCCACCGTACTCATCGGGACACCCGTCAGCGGCTCAGACAGCTGCCCTCAGTCTCACATTCTTGTGCTCCCACAAGGGCCATCAACACTGGAGGGTCCTTCATTAGCAGCCAATAGTTAGCAACAGGCAGGGCTCCCCTCCAAGCGAGCCGCGTGGGCAAGAGAAGGGCCCTCCATCAGGTGGAGAACGCAGGCGGCTGCCCAGAAGGGGAGGAGCGCTGGGGCCCAGTGGGCAGGCCAGAGGCAGCTCCGCATTAACTCTTCCTCTGCCGGGGCCAGTGCTGGGCAGAGGCCTCCCTCAGCTGCTGCTTGCCAGGACAGGACCGGAGATGCCAGCCCAGCCTAGGCCCAGATGGGCTGGTTCTATATGACCTTAAGGGGATCCCTCCCACAATCCTACTCTTCACTTCCATCTTGCCTGAGGAGGCCCCTCAAAGGGTGCCTTCCTCAATCCTTTCCTGGTTTTCCCTGTCCCTAACCTGCCCAGAGCCACGGGGTCCAGGGCTCAGTCCACCCACCTTTAGGCAGGCTGAGGGGGCTGCTCCTGGTAGGCCCCTCTTGGAGGGACACCCCAACACGCCCAGCAGGCCCCGGGCACCCTATCCCGCTTCCTCCCTCACGGATTTCTCTCTCCACCATTCCAGACCTCCCATGGAGGTAGCCCCTCCCCCACATTCCCATTTGCCCAGGTCTGGCCAGTCCTCTGATTGGCTTGGAAAGCCACGGTTGTATTAGATAGGATTATGGCAAAGAGAAATAGTGAAACTTTGAGGAGCTTGAGATATTAGCGGAGGTTTTTATTCTCCTGAGACTGAGAATAAGCTCCTGGGGCCAGCTCACGTCAAATCTGAGCCCGGTAAGACCATCCTGCCCACCCCCAAATCCCCTGAGGTCTGACGCAGGTCACGATGGCTGCAGGGACCCAGGGCCCTGTGCTCAGAGGTCTGCCCTGACCCCCACCCTGCCAGGGTTCCCATGATTAAAGAATCCTACAAAAATGGGACATGGGGGCACGTGGAGATTGGAAGCAAGGGGAGAGATCAGGCCCCTACCAAGTCTCCTGCCGAGCCCGAGGACCAATTCCCAGCCAGTGTTCATGCCTCTGCCCTCCACCTTCTGGACCAGGCCTTTGCGGGCTGAATGAACCTATGACTGACTGAGCTAACGGGAAAAAGAGCCCCAGAAGCACCTCTGCCTCCACCCCCCGGCCCAGGGCCAACGTCAAAATGTGCTCACATTTCTTCTCAGGGAAGCCGTTGCCACCGGCCGGGAGCGGGTGGGAGTGCTGGTGTTGTCGGCGGGAGGGCAGCGTGCTTGTGAAGAGGACGTCACTGGGCAGGCCTGGCTCGAAGCAGGGTGGACTGGAGTACGAGGCCTCCCGCCGGCCGCTGCACAAGCTCTCGTCGGACAGGGTCCTCTGCAGCGCCTTCTGGGGGGACTGCAGGAGTTGAGGACAGCCTGAGGTCAGAGCCCCCGGAAGGACCCAGGCCCTGCCTGCTCTGCCTTCCCAGTCACTGCCCACCTGCCAGAGGCTGCTGGGGGCAGAGGACAGGGCACCAGGCTCCGAGTCGGCAAGGCCCGAGTTCAGATCCGGCCTAGTTGCGTGACCCTGGGCAAGTCACTTTACTTCTGTTTGCCTCAGTTCCCTCAACTGAGAAATGAGGATTTATCTCAAGGGGTTGTTGTGAAGACCAAATGACATGATTATAAAGCACTTAGCAGAGTGCCATCGTAGGCACTGATACAGACTTCCTTCCTTCTCTCCCTCAGTCCAGGCCGGGACACGCCTCCATCCCTCCTGCCTAAAGCTCTGTGCCAACCTCTTCCTGCATCTCCCCCCAGGTACTGACCCTTCTCAAGCACTGCTTTCAGTCTACTGCGGCCCTGCTCCCCTGCCCACGGGACGACACAAAACACCAGAGACTGGGTTTCTTCTCAGCTTCGTCTCCAAATGTCTCAGGCGGGCATGCAATGCCCTCCTGAAAGCCTGTCCAAAGTGCTCCCCCACCTTTCCTCTGATTGCTCCTCGCCATGCCCATGGCTGACGCGGCCCCCAACTTTCTCCTTCTCCAAATCCCTCCTTCAAAGCTTGGCCCCATTTCTGGCTCCTGCACAAGGACCACCCTCCCTGCCTCCCTCTCTACAAGCTCACAGGCCTTGGGTTCAGATTTGGGTTCTGGCATTTACTTGCTGTGTCTATGAACCTAGGTAAGTCACATCAGCTCTGTAAGCCTCGCTCTCCTCATCTATCAAATGGGGCAAATGATGCCTCCACGGTTGCTGTGGGGAAGAGCTAAGCTTAGAGGCACTGCAGAAATGGGGGGCCGGCCTCAGGCTCTCGCCTTCAGTCTGTCTGGCCTCTTCATCTGCTGCTTAGGGGGAGAGAGCCAGGGGGCCTCTATCTGCTGGCTCCACCTCAGAAGGGAGAAGGGAGGGTGTGTGTGTTTGTAAGATTCCTTCCGGCTCCGAAGTCTAAGCCAGCGGCTACTCTTTGGTGGACACGTAGTATGTCTCCTTAACTAAACTGTCAGGTCCCCAGGGCTGGGCCTGGGTCTGACGCCTTTGGTTGGTGAACGCCTTGTGCCCTGCCTTTCAGCACCCAGCAGATCCCTCCTGGGCCAGCCACCGCTGGGCAGATTACGCTTCGTGCCCTCTCTGCTTCCGGCTCGGGGACCAGTCCCTCTGCCTGAATGTCTGCGGTGAATGGTGTAAGGAGCACGCAGCAGCTGGCCTCTAGCTGAGCTCGTCACAGTTTGCTAGGCCTGTCATCAAACAGCAATCAGCCTTCATCTCAATCCTCCTCTCCCACCACAGACAATCAGACCTCCTGAGACTCCCATCCTTCCTACCTAAACCAAGCAACGATAAATTCAAGACGCTGGCTGTCTCGCGAGGAAGGGGCCAGGGGTGGAGGGCATGGGTCAGCCGGGGTCGGACTGAGCCTCCAAAGCTTGTGCCTCGCCTACACAGGGTGCTGGGTCTGGGACTGGGGACCCCACGGGAGAGCCCATGCACTCACCGAAGACTCTCGCTCCTGCTCTGGGGTCAGGGGGTCCATGATGATGAGTTTCTTGAGGTCATCCTCAATGGTTGACTTGTAATTCTTCCGGGGTGAGCGGAGATCGCGCAGGGACGCCCTTAGCCGGGGCTGCCCAAACACATTCTTCGCGCTCATATCGATTTGCCTGCAACAATCCGGGGAGAGGGTCAGGGGGTGCCTGGCCTCTCTCCCTCCCTCCTGGCTGCCTCTGGCTTGCAGAGATGGCTCCCTCCCCAGTCAGATGGGAAGCTCCCCAGCCCTTCTCTTTTTGGGGGCTTGGCACTGGCAAGTGGGTGGCTCAGCGGATGGAGCGTTGGGCCTGCAGTCAGGAAGACCCGAGTTCAGCCAGAGTTTCCTCATCTGCAAAATGGGGACAATACTAGCACCTTCCTCCCAGAGTTGTTGTGAATATCAAAAGCTGGTGATATTTGTAAAGTGCTTTGCAAAGTAGAAAGCGTTACATCCAGAGACACGGTAGAGAAGGGAAACCCATTTCATGGCCTGCTTTTCTGGGAATGGGAGGAATTAATGACAAGAAGCATCTGGGGTGGGTGGGGGAGGGGGAGGAGGCACAATGAGCTGGGCCAGGCAGGCGGAGAACATTGGGGTGGGCTGGGGTGAGCCCCAGGTCTCTGAAGGATCCGTGGCATCATAAGAGAAGGCTGGTGGAGGAGACAGGGGGAAGGCATCTGAAGCAATGGGAGACGGCGGGCACTGGCCATGCTGTGGAGCAGGCCTGGACCGAGTCACTCATCCGGGAGAGGCCAGCAGGACTAAAGGAGAGACTGAGACAGCGGTCCCTGACCAGGGGTGTACTCCAGAAGCTCTTGGGGAGAAATGGGGGGAACTGCTCCTTGCCCTTCTCCAAGGAGGCAGCCATGGCCTAGCATGACCCGCTGCTCCCCCACAGGGGATGCTCATGGACCAACTTCTCCCTGCAAAGCCTGGGCCGCCACACAGGTGACATGGCCCTCCGGCCGTGGCTGCCTCCCACGGTGGGGGAAGCCAGAATGAGCCACTCAAACACACCTGGCCTGTGAGGTGGCGCTAAGTGGTGAGCCTGGGGGCTGGACGCCGGGCAGGGCCCCTGAAGCCCACCCACGGCAAGGGCTCGTGCAGCTGCTCCTTGACAGGAGAGGCCAGGAGCAGGAAATCCACTCCCTTAGAGCACTAGTCCAAGGGGATGGGACCACCAGCTGGGGAGGGGGTCACGGCGGACAGTGCTCCCAAGGCCTGAACTCTATCACCACCTATGTAAGCAGCAGCTTCGATCTGACTGCCCTCCTTCGCAGGGAAGGGTGAGCTAAGCTAATAAGGATGGATTTAGCTCTCAGCAACAATGACAAAACCGGCTCCAGACACATCCGATTGTGGGTCGGATTCTCTGGGAGGTGGGGAGAGTGATTCCAGATCAAAAGTCAAGCTTTCTGAGCCCAGGACCCAGGTCACAAGCCCCACCCCCCTCCCCAGCTCCGACCCAAGGCAACATGAAACAATTTCTGCTTTCTTCTCCTGGCCCCGGCCGGCTCGGCAGGATTTCAGCACGACAACGGCGCAGCAGAAAAGGATCTGAGAACCAAGAGACCGCCGGGCTTCACCATGTACGCGCTCAACGACAAAGCCTTTGACGAGGCACAGAAGTGACCCAGAAACCGGGCAGAAGAAACGAACCGTCTGAAGCCCAGAGGGGCTGGGGGAGCCCGGCGCATTTTTCAATTGCCTGCGCCGGGACCTTAAAAAGGGAAAGATGAGGCGGCTGGCTCCTTCTCCTCCCCCACCAGATGAAAAGCGCAGGCCTAGGGCCTCCCTGACTGTGTCGTCTCCCCTCTCGTGGCCCGAGAACAAGAGGGGAGAAACGGAGACGCTCCCTCTCAGCAGATCCTGGTAGGAGACGCACCCCCCCCCCCCCGCCCCGCGTCTCCCCGGCGCTTCCCAGAATCCTCTGTCCCAAGGGGAGGCAGCAGGGCACGCCAGTCCCTGATCTCTTCCACGGAGAAGCCAACCAAACCCAAGTGGGCTGGAAGAGCTGCCAGGTGGGCTCAGGAGGCGGGGTCGCCGGAAGGAGGCTTGGGAAGGCTGGGCCTGGGCTCCTGCAGCTCCCTCAGTGCCTCTGGTCCTCCCTGGGGGAGGTTCCTATTCAGGCCAGGTTAATTAAGCAAATTAGGCATCCGTTTCACACAATCACAGCAAATGCATCTCATGCCCAACACAGTGACAGCCTAGCCAAGACACTGCCCACTGCCAGGGGGTGAATGCTTCCCCTGACCTCACTGCCATCTGGAAGGAAGAAGGGCTGAATGGCGTGTGGGCAGCCTGAGGGGGTGCCACAGGGCACAGAGCTCAAATCCAGCCTGAGACACTTACTAGCTGGGTGACCCTGGCCGAGTCATTTACCTCTGCCTGCCTCAGTTTCCTTGTCTCTGAAATGGAGATAAGAGCAGCACCCACCTCCCAGAGCTGTTGGGAATTGATTGAAAGAATAATCACAAAGTGGCTAGCACACAGTAGGTGCCCTACCCTGGGGAGCAGTCAGGACGGGGAGATGACCGCTGCCCCTACCAGAGAGGCTCATTGGAAGGAAATGGGGCTCTTCAGTGAGAAGAGCTGGGGTACGATCTCATCCATTATCTGAAGAGCTTCCAGGGGTTTCCCTCTGCTTTGCTGGCCCAGGTGGACTTGGGTTGGACATACTTGGCGTCCATTTGCCTCACCACCAACGTGCCAATGCCCCAAAGGGGCTCTGTGGTCTCCTTGAGGTGGGCGCTCCTTCCAGCATCACCAGCTGTAACCCACCTGGCGGGCCTGCCTGTGTAACCCCTGCCCATCTCTTCCAGCCCTGCCCCCAGGGGCCACTTTTCCTGACATCATGAGGCTGGCGGTAGGGCAGACGGTCATCCCTTCCATCCCACCCTGGCATGACTGCAGTTTTCTCACAATGACTAACCTTGATTTTGGGTCATTTTCATAGATTCTCATTGGTGCTGTCCTGCACACTAAAGAACCTTCACTACGGGCCTGTCCCTCCACTGCCCGCACCTCTGGGTGACATTAATGTTTAATCCTCCGGTCACCTGCCATCAGAGGACACTAGATTACTGGAGGAAAAATGACGGACCTCTGTTTCTAGGAAGCGCTCTGGGAGGTTTGTGAATGACTGGAGACAGTCCAACCTTCTCTTTTTGGGCCTAACTCACTTCTATTTGTTCTGTCTGCCAAAGACGGGCACCATGATGAGAGGACCCGGGGCTGTCCACGCAACTGCACGTCATCCTGTGAACAGAAGGTGTTTTCTTCCACTATGTTTTTCCTGTGTGGATGGTTAGGCTAAATTCCTTTTAAGGAAGCTCTGGATGAGCCCCAATGACATGCACAGACCAAAGCATCCAAATGTCGGCAATCTCTCTTGAACTTGGCTCTGTGTTAGATTCTTTTCCATCTTAATGGAAAACACCTTTTTGAGAGTAGGTCTCCTTGATTTAGAGGGCAGCTCGCTGGTGCGGCAAATAGAGCACCAGACCTGGAATCAGGAAGACCAGAGTTCAAATCTGGCCTCAGACAATTCCCAGCTGGGTGACCCTGGGCAAGTCATTTAACCTTGTCCGCCTCAGTTTCCTCCTCTGTAAAATGACCTGGAGAAGGAAATGGCAAACCACTCCAGGATCTCTGCCAAGAAAACCTTAAATAGGGTCACGAAGAGTGGGGCACGACTAAAAAATAACCGAACAACATAAAAAACTCCTTGCTTTATTTTATGCCTTCCCGGATGTTTATGATCAGCGCAGCGAGGAGGGTCATCTCTGTGTGGTGTTACAGCTCTTTCAAGACAACTTGGATCACTGCGATGTCTGGATGGGAGCCACCTCTTTGGAAGAGACTAGAAGGTGGCATTCTGCTCGGACAGATAGGTTTTCTCTTTATGATCAGCAGAGGGTGAGCAGTGGAGTGCTGGGATTCTGTATGGCTCTCAGTCACTATGTGACGGCAAAGATACGCCATGCCCCGGAACATGCCTTGCAAAAGCCTCCCTATTCCCTCCTCATAACTTCTTGCCCGTGATGCATGTGTAGACAATGCTCAAATGTTTTACAGAGAAGGGAAGGGAGGTGTATGGCCTGGTGGTTGCTGGTGTTCTCCTGGCTGCCTTTTTCTGGTATTCACAAGGCTGAATGGTTTTCCACGACGCTAGCATTTTAACATCCTTTGGACACCTCGGGAATCGATCCCCCCAACTTTCCCACAATTTTGTCACCTTGATTATGGACCTCTTCTATGCACCCTGGGTCTAATCTGGCTGTTTTCCCCTTCTCTGTTTTCTTTAGTTCCATTTCTGCTCATTTCTGCACCATCCTCCTCAGAAAGTCACACCCTAGACTTGGATGGTGGTTCACATTATGGCGGCTCTCTGCCCTTGACGGCAATAAACAGTTTGTTGTAAAACCTGCAGATCTTTTTCCTTTTTCTTCCGTTTGTTGTCTTCCTTCCCCTTTCATCCCTAGGTACCCTCAGCATGACTTGGCTGGTGGAGGCCCTTTAACTTGGTTGTGCTCTCTAGTGCTGAAGAGGGCATGCTCTTCCATGGTCCGGCTCTGTGAGATCATGCCATAATGTCTATGCTAAACCAGGGTTGTCATTGAATGACGGATCGCTCCATTTGACCATCACCCAGATGACTTAACCCTGTTGTCTCTGTAACTTCTTTTCTGGACCCACCCTGCCCTGACCGGTGAGTGCCATTCATGGCCCACTGATATTGGAGCCTCAACTGAAGCCAAGATGCTCTCAGCAAACTCTCGGCCCCTTCTCACTCTATCGTGCATCCACATCCTCGCACCGGCTGATGCCCAGGCATCCTCTCCTCTGCCTCACAGTGTCCTTTCCCTTCCTTCAATTCAGCTCAAACCCACCTTCCACCCAAAGGCTTTCCTGCCCCACCACCTGCCAGCCTATCTTATATTTGCCTACACTGTGTTCTTTGTCTTTCCATGTAGCCTGTGTACTTGTCTATGTCCTCATCCCTTCCCTGTTAGAACGTAAGCCGCTTGTGAGCAGGGATTGGCCCATTGTTTTGGTATCCTCAGGACTTAGCACGGTGCCTGGCACACAGCAGGTGCTTGTCGAGGGCCTGCTTGGTTGACCGTCCTGCTGCCACATAGGCACCCTCTCGCGCCTCCCCTGCCTTCTTCCGAGGTCTCCTCCTGCTCCAAGACTCCACGATTCTGTGAAATGTCTGGTGGGCTTCCCTGTATGTCTCCTCTCCTGGCTCTGACTCAGCCTGTAGAATGATCGCTTACCCTTTCCAAGATGCCGGGGTCTGGGATGACGTCCTGATGGGCGCTGAGGCTGCCTGATTCCCACGGGGTCCCAGGGTCCCGCGCTTGCACAATTCCACACCAAGACTGGTTTGGGAGGCTAATGCCAAGAGGCTAACGAGGTGACCGGGCACCCAGAGCAGGAGGGCAATGGAGGGATGCAGAAAGACCCCTGGAACTGTGCTCTGCCTCTCCCTGCCTGTGCAACCCTAGGAGAAGCATCCTCTCTCTAGGTTAGAGTTTTACAGTCTGTAGACCGTAGACAGTGACCCTTGTCCTGTCCTGCCCACCTCACCTGGCCGCTGAGGAAACCCCAAGAGTGTAAACAAAAGTGCTTTTGGAAACCATAAGCCAATGCCAGTTTCACTGAGGTCAATTCTACCAAAAACGTCCCCCCCCACCCCCGCCTCCCGGCTGCCCGGCTGTCCTCCCTCTGCCTTCTCAAAGCCTGCCAAGGCCCTGGCCAGCAGGGCCAAACTCCAGCCTTACCACCGGCCTCTCTGCCCAGCTCCCAACCAGAGTGGGTCTGATTATGATGCCATCTACAAACCAGGGAAAAGGCACATCCTTAGAGGTCATCAAAGAAAAGAAAAGGTCAGAGGCTTACTTCTTGGGGTCAGAAAAGGCCAGGGGCCGAGGGGCAGGCTCCTCCGCTCTCTTCCATCCGGTGGGGTACTTATTCCGTATGGGCTGCTTGGAGAAGAAGGACTTGGGGACTGAGGCAGACAGCTGGAAGGGGATAGGCTGAGCCAGCGGAGGGGCCCTGGCATTCTCCATTGCTGGCGTTTTGTAAACCTGAGCGGGGTAGGCGGCTCTGGAGCTCACGTTACTAAAAAACAAACAAAACAAACGAAATCGGCCTCAGCGAGTGGCATTTCAGCGGCCTTCCCAGGAAAATCGAGCTCACGCCCTGCCCCTCCTCTCTGCCCACAGGTGTGGGAGCTGCCTTCGGATCTGGTCCCAAGAGTTCCATTCTCCGAGGGACTGTCTCCCACTCAGTGGCACCTGCTGCCTTTCACTTAGCACAGGAGGGCTAGAGGGAACTTCAGGTCCACCCATTCACCTGGGTGGCACAGCGGGCCCAGCCTCCAGAAGACCCGAGTTCTAATCTTGCCCCCCACACTCACTAGCCGTGTGACCCTGGGCAGGTCACCTCACCTCTGTTTCTTCATCTCTAAAATGGGGATGATCAAAGCACCCTCCTAAAGTTGTGACAACCTGCGTGAGTGCTCCGTTAATGCTTATTTCCCAAATCCCCTCATCTCTCTGACCTCTCCTCCCAGCTCTGGCCCACCCCGCTGGTATTAGCGAGAATTTAAGGAAAAGTTCAAGACAGATCACGCAGGGGCCAGAGCCCAGGTCTTCTGATGCCATGCCTCTGTCTTTCCCTTATGTCATCTGAGCTGCTGTTTGGGCAGTGGGGCTTAGAGACCAGTCCTGGGCTCTCTGTCACGTGTGGGCCGGGGCAGTCCTCAATGCCGTGACCCCCAAGCACTCTTGATCTGCCAGGCAGTGAGCATAGGTGACAAAGACGGCAGCAAGGCCTCCTGGGCCAGACCACGGGCTCACGGAGACACCAGAGGACAGCAGGTGGGTGTCAGCCCTGAGCTGACGCTCCAAACAAGCCTGACTCCTCTGGGAGTGGGGGAGGGTGCTGTCCAGCAGGGAAGTGCCCAGCCCCTTCCTGTCTGCCCCTGCGGGACTCTGCGCTCACGTCCTTTCTCTAGCTCAGCTGACCTGAAAGCAGCTGACCCACACAAAATAAATATGTGGTTCTGTTTTCTAATCAAAGTTGAAAAATGGTTCCCGCCACTGAGAAATCCACGGATCCCTGAGGACTCCCTCCCACGTGGCGGTGTGGATCATTCATTCTTACTAACAGCCCACGCCGGTGCCCGGGGGGCCGGGCGCGTGGCGCAGGAGCCGAGGGCTCGGATGACCCCTAGCGGAGAAGCTCACCGGGGCCTGAGGATTCCGGGTGTCTACAGAATGTGATCAGGACCACCAGCTGCTGTCCGGGAGAGGTCCACTCCTGGGCAGACATCCCATTGTGCTGGGTGGTATACGCTGGGACGCCGACCGTGGCAGTTCCCATCTCAGCATGGTCTTTGCCTGGGGCGCTAACACCACTGCCGGGCCGTCCCTCCCTCTTGCCGTGGGATTTTCTACGCTATCTCTCGTGCTTCTCCTCAATATGAGTCTTCCTGGGTGAGGTGTGCTGCAGGCCTGCCGTCTGCCACCCAGGGCCTTCCACTGACATCCCGGGGGACACCTGTAACCTTTATCCTCCTGAGAGCGCAGTGGTCCACGGCTCCTAGCCACATGGCCTCACCAGCAGGGCAGGGTTGGCAGGAGAGCAGCCCAAAGGATGGGAAGCCTGCGCTGTCCAGATGGCAGAGACACAATGGGGCCTCAGCGAGAGCCAGGGTCAGCTGGCACGGTGCCCTCGGCCAGGCTGCTGCCAGTCCCTATTCTGATCTGTACCCTAAGCCTCTCTTTCCAGCTCACAGTGACAGGTTTCCCAAGCCTTCTGGCCCTCAGGTGGCTTCACTAGCTTGGTCGCCAACCCCCCGAGGCCCGTTCCTGATTGGTGTATGGGCGGGGCAGATGTGGGTCAGCCTCTGTGGCCTTGGTCAGCCTGTGACGGGGCTCACCCTCTGCCGCCCAGCTTTTGGAGTCTAGGGTCCTTGCCACGCTGGGAAGAAGCTGCACAGCAAAGCTCTAAATGAGAAGGGCCCCGAGCGTTGGGACTCTGCCGCTGAGAAGGGGAACTTGTGCCCCTTGGGCTCTGAGGGCATCTCAGGAGGAGATGAAACCTGGACCCCCAAGCAGATGCACGAAGTGCCCACTCTAGAGGACCCGGAGGCGGGTCGATGCTTCTGCCCACTCAGACATCCCCAGCAGGCTGAGGCCTCTTTCCCAGGGCCAAGCGCCAATGGCTCAGTCTGCACCTGCCACTAGAGCCCTGACTGGCCACGCCGCTCATCTCCTGGGCCCCAACAGCCCTGAGCTTCACCAGCAGCCCTGGACGTTCCTGGACACAGCTCACAGCTGAGCCTGCACTGACCAGCTCCGAGGTCTTCTCATGGTGATTGTGGGGACAGTGAGGCCAGGCCAGTAGGATGGGAGCCCTGGCAGCAATGGGCGAGGGTGGAGCCTAGCTCAGCATGGGGAGACTCCGTCCTGGGACAACTGGCCACCAAGGCCGCTGCAGCACAGGAAGAGAGGTCTGCTGCGGTGGGCTCACAGACCTCCAAGAAACCGAGGCGGCCTCGGCAGTGCTGGGGTCAAAAATGGTCTCAGGCCTCCAAGAGAGTTCAGGCGCCTTTGTGAGATGGGGGAAGGAGGCCAACAACACAGCCAGCTCGTTAGCTGTCCACGACGTGGCTGGGCTTGTGGTGGGTCCCAGTGGCCTTGTCTTTTGAGACAAATGCCAACCAGCCTCTTGCACCAAAGTGTGGCCCTAGGTCCAAGGATGGTGATGGGCCAAAGTGTGCCAGACATGCCCCAGGCAGGAGAGAGACCATCCCGCTGAGGAGGGAGGTGAGGCAGGCTGCAGGGCGGAAGTGGTGCCTGAGCAGGAGCTGGGAGGATGGCCTGGGCAAACACCTGGAGGCTGGATAGAGCTGAGGAGCATGTGACAGGAGCCATATGAAATAAAGCCGGAAAGGCAGGCTGCCAGCAGGCCAGACGTACCAGTGGCCCAGAGGCGAGAGGAAGCCCCTAGAGGTGGCGGGGCGGCACAGGGCCGGCTCAGACCAGAGTCCCAGGAAGCTGGGGGGAAGGAAGGTGGATTGGTGGGGGGGAGCATGGGGGCAGCACCGGCAGTCGGGGGCTTGGGCAGGAGTCCAGCTAAGAGGTGACGAGATGACCACTGATCCCTTGCTCAGAAAGGACACTCGCATCACAGGATGCCAGAGCTTGGAGGCAGCCCCAATAGATGGCGCACTGGAGGGAGTGCTGGGCCTGAGTTCAAATCCAGCCTTTGACACTAGAAGTGTGACCCCGGGCAAGTCATTTCCCCACTGTCTGCCTCAGTTTCCTCCTCAGTAAAGTGGGGATAACAACAATACCTACTTCCCAGGGCTGCTGCCAGAACCAGACGAGATGATATTTGTAAAGGGCTTTGTAAACCCTTCCGCGCCCTGGTAACGCAATGGAAAAGCTAACTCCTGTGACTGGAGAGGCTCCTTCCATTCCTTCCCTTCACAGACTCTCTTTCCATGGATCTGGCTTTGCACCTGTTTCCCTGGACCCCTGACTAGTGGCCAGGCTGGACTTCTTCTGGCTAAGCACTTTATGACGTCCCTCAGCAGGGTGTCCTGCCTGCCCAGCCAGACGGGAAGGGCCCTCCAGTCAAAGGCCAGACTAGAGAGGGCAGGCCCCGGCTGGCCCGGGTCAGAGCAGCTCGCTTGTGCTGGAATGGGGAGGTGGGCAGGCCTTGGGGATGGGGGATGGAAGGGCTGTTTCCTTCTCCCCGTCTCCCACCCCCTTCCCCAGCCTGGTCCAGCTCAGCCCAGGGTCACACAGCAAGTATTCCAGAAAGCCTGGTCTAACGGGCAGCCCTGGGCTCACGGCCAGGTTCTAGGGCTGCAGCAGCCCAGGACCAAACCATAGCCCTAGCTCGGCCAGCACTGGCAGGTTGCCACCACTAGGTGGCGCATATGCCACATCTCTGGCTCAGCTACCTGTCTCCAGCTCACCTGTCCACAGCAGCAGCGGGAAGCCTCAGGACCAGGGAAGGGGAGTGGTGGTGGGGGCAGTCAGGGGCTATCCCTTCCCACTGGGCAGAACTCCAGGACGGGGTCCTAGGAAGCCCGTGAGAGTTGCCCTTGGATGGGGCAGGGTGGGGGTCTCGGACCCTCTCCAAACCACTACCTTCAACAGGCATCTCGTCTCTCTCCACCGGCTCCCACACCTGTACGGGTATGGCAAGGGCAGGGCCCTTTTCCAGGCCCCCAGAGGTGCCCCACAGGTGCTGCCTGGCCTGGAACAGAGGGGTCCTTTCCTGGGGAGGATGGGCAGGAGTACTCCTGCCTGGAAGGAGGCAAGAGGACAGTCCCATGACCCGGTCTCAAGTTTTTCCTTGGCCAGTGAGTCCAAACCCATAAGACCAAGACCAAATTTAAACCCGGCTGCCTGGATCCTAGCACCCCCCTCTTCATCCCCCCTCCGGACCAGCCCCCACTTGGCTGGTACCTGGGCTGCTTCAACAGGTCATGATTGTTCCCGGGGCCCACGGGTCCTGAGGGGGTGCTCGAGCCGGCTGAGTACAGTTTGGGCCGGTAGTTTTTGCTCTGGCCGCCGCCAGGCAGGGTCTCTCGACGCTTGTCCGAATGGTAGAGGCTCTTGTCCCCATGGCCCCCGTAAGCAGGCTTCTGCAGTTTGGGCGGCCGCGGCAGGCCGCTGGGGCTGGCGGTGCAGATGGTGGTCTCGATGCCGCTGTCGCTGGAGCCACCCTTGGAGAGGGGGTCCTGCTCGGCCTCTAGGGCGTCCAGGCTATCGAACCAGCGCTCATCGCTGTGGCTGCTGGACGCATTGCTGGACAGCGTGTTGCTGCTGGAATGGCTTGAGTATTGAGGGTCACCCTGGAAACACAACAGAGGGTCTCAGTACAGCCACCCCTGAGTCCGGCACAGGCTGGGCACACACGGGACGTTCCCATTCTCTCAGCAGAGACCACACACACACACGTCACCCTGCACAGAACAAATCCCAGACACCGGGCAGGGAGGGAGGGTGGGGCCCTGGTAGCCGTGCTGTGAGCCAGGAGGGCCGTAGTCCAGGTGCCAGCTGTGTGAGCAGGACCAGGGGAGTTCACCTCTCTGACAGTCCTCCTCTTCTGTAAGAGTCCTGGCTCTGACACCTTGTGCCTCAGTTTCCTCATCTGTACATGAGACAGCCTCACGGACTTACTTGTATGTGGAGGGTGACCCATATGTGTGCTGCTACTGCCAGCCCAGGGCCCAGCGTGGCACAAACAGGCCCCTGGGAGCGCCCCCCACACCCAGCGCAGCTGTCGGGGTGCACTGCTCCCCGTGTCTGGTCTGCACAGCATGAGGCTACAGCATGGCTTCTTAAGCTATTCTAAAGGCAACATGCAAGTCACTTAATCTGTATCAGATGATCTCAGTCTCCTCCACTGTAAAACGGAGCAAAAGCAGCCTACGCGATTCCTGGCAGACGCTACCCATAGTCGCCCCTCATCCTCCAGCTCTGCCTCTGCCGATGCCCCCTGCCGTCCTCTCCCATGTGGCTGGACTCTGCGGGGTTCTCGTCACCTCCTCAACACCGCTCTCTCCAGACTGACCCATCATCTTCGTGGTCACTGTCGATGGCCTTTCCTCAGTCCCCATTCTCCCTGACCTCTCCGCAGCCATGGGCACTGAGGACCCCTCCCTTCTCTCTAGTGTCAGCGCTCCCCGCTCACCTCCCCCCTCCCGGTTTTCCTCCTGCCTCTCTGACCGCTCCTTCTCTGTCTCCTCCTCCAGATCGCGCCCTCTGACCCTAGGTGACCCCCAGCGTTCTGGCCTGGGCCCTCTTTTCTTCTCCCTCTGGACTACTTCACCGGATGCTCTCATGGGCTCTCATCAATACAATCATCATTTCTATGATGACAATGCTCAGATCTAATTATCTGGCCCTAACCTTCTGCCAATGGGGCAGCTAGGTGGCACCATAGTGCATGGAGCACCAGGCTTGGGGACTCACCTTCCCAAGCCTCAGACACTTCCTAGCTGTGTGACCCCGGGCAAGTCACTTCAACCCTGTTTGCCTCAGTTTCCTCATCTGTCAAAAGAGCTAGAGAAGGAAATGGCCAACCCCTCCAGGATCTCTGCCAAGAAAACCCCAAATGAGGTCATGGAGAGTTGGACACAACTGAAAAATGGCTCAACCAGAACACCCCCCAGTCTTGAATCTCCCCGTGCCTTTCAGACATGTCAGACTGGATATCCAGCGGACACCTTCAACTCGCTACGTCCAAAACAGAGCTCGTCCTCCTCCCCCTCACTAGAGAGGGCAGCCCTCTCCCCAGTCCCTCAGTGTCTCCCCCTGCCCCCATATCCAAGCTCTGTCGTCTCCGCCCCATCCTCCGCTCTGACACTGCCTCCACCCCGGGGCCGCCTTGCATCACTCCGGCCTGCCCTGTTGCCACAGCCGCCAGTGGGTTTGCCGGCCACGTCTCTCCCCAGCCCAGCCTCCTCCACTCGGCTGTCAAATGGACCTTCCCAAAGTAAAGTCTATGTCACCTCCTCCCCTCATTGCCTCCAGAATCAAATATAAAACCATGTGTTTGGCATTCAAAGCCCTCACAATTTGCCCCCCTTCCTTTCCACCTTCTCACGCCTCCCTCCCCTCCACATGCCCTTTGCTCCACTGACACCCGCCACCTTGCTGGTCTGCTGACCAGAGCTTCCACACGCTGTCACTGGCCGTGCTCACGCCTGGAATGCTCGCCCTCCTGACCGCCGCCTCCCGGATTCCTTCAGCTTCAGCTCTAGTCCCGCCTGCTACAGGAAGCCCTTCTGGATCCCCCCATTCTAGGCCCTTCACCTCCTCGTTATTCGAATCCCTTGCGTGTACTGAGCTGCCTGCAGGATCTCTCTGCCCCGCTGGACAGCGAGCTCCTTGAGAGCAGGGCGGCTTCCGTGCCTTTCTTCGCACTCCCAGTGTTTAGCACAATGCCTGGCATGCAGCAGGTGCTTAGTAAGTGCTTGCTGACTATCTCATGGTGTCACGGTGAGAACTGAATGAGATACCCCGGGTAGCAAGATCGGCCAGCCTTTGAGGGCTCCAGTGCTGGGTTGTTTCTGGGAGGGATGGCCAACCAGCCCCAGGGGCATCGGCATGGACATTTCACACCGAGACTCCTCACAGAAAGCCCCTAAGAGGCATCCTTGGGAAGGTCTGGCTCCTCACAGGGGGAATAACCCAAGACCGTTGTCCTGACACGGAGCATCTCAGTTTTAGCTTTTATTCTTAAAATGAGCTGAGGTCGCCCCTTCTCTTGGGGTAACTCCATAGACAAGAGCTAACCTGGGCCCAGACGGCCCTGTGGCCCTGGCCCTCGCTCTGCAAACCGGGGAACGTTCCCCTCCCCTCCTTTCATCCCCTGCTCTCAGAGACCCCAAGCCCAGGCCACCTTGGCTGGAGAGTGGCCGCCCACTATCCCAACTGGGTGAGGTCTGCAGCAGCACGTTTCCTCATCTGTAAAACGCGGACGACGAACGTGAGCCTGCCTGCATCCCAGGATGAAGCCCAAACGCAAAAGCGCCTGTGACGAGGGGGGTCGCTGCCCCATTATGGGTCTACTGCTTCCCCTGGAAGAGGAGGGGAAACTCCACACATAAATGGCAGCTTTTTTCAAGCCAAGACCGTAGGATGCTAAGGACGCCATGGTGTTCCCAACTGAGCAATGGGTTCTTGACTGTTAGAAGAGGCTTCCAATACATGTTTGTATCCCCTCTACCCTCTCCAGGGCCGCCACCCAGCTGGCATCTCCCAACAGCTCTGCCAAGTGGGCAGGGCTGGGAGGAAACTGAGGTAGAGAGAGGGTAGAGATCTGTCCAAGGTCACACAGACAGCTGGGACTAGAACCCAGGTCTGCCACCTTGACAGTGCTTCTTTATTTAAAAGGTTGGTTTTTTTTTTTAAATGTTCACTTAATTTTCTCCCCGCGAGGCCCCCCACCCCCTCAGTATTTCTCCACTGTACCCCAAGGAGACTTGTTTCTAAAACTTGGGCCCCTTGGGCATTGTAATTACAAACCCTTCTGGGAACACAAGCAGCCCAGGCCGGACAGGACGAGGCGGCCCGAGTCCTCTCACCCCTGCCTACTCCTCCTGAGGCCCTCCTTCACTAGCCGGCGGAGCTCCCCCCGACCCCCGGGGGCCTAGCCAGAACACGGCTCGGATCGATGAGCAGCCTCTGAGCGCCCTCAGTCCCAGCAGCTGGGGAAGGTGCCCTCCCTCAGGGGCTCTGAGCCTCACCCCTGGTCACCCAGCCAGCCCAGCACAAGAGCCCCAGGGACCCCAGCCTGAAACGCTGCCAGGCCCCCTGTCTGGGGGAGAAGGACCCAAGGCTCATGGGGCCCCCGGGTACCACTTCTCAGCCCCTCCTACGGCGCCGGGCTCTTATCTCAGAAACTGAAAGTGGCCTGCGCTTTGGTGGAGCCAGAAGACCACTGCAAAGCCCCCAAGTCCACCCAAAGCTCCCCTCTCCAAAACGAACTGCCCTTGGACACCTGCAGGAATTGTGGACGAAGAGCTAGAAGGGAACCCCCAAGATTATCCAGCCCAACCCTTTCATTTTACAGATGAGGAAACTGAGGCTGAGAGAGGCGAAGGGACTTGTGCCAAAGGCCATCCAGCAGAGGTAAGATTTGAACTCAGGCCCTCTGACTGCAGAGCTGAGGCTCTTCACACCTCTCAATACAGGGAGGCGGGGTGTCAGCACACACGTAGGCACACACACACACACACACATACACACACACAGAGGAAACAACAGTGTCCCCCCAAGGGGAGAGGGCTTTGGGACCCCCGCCAGGTGTGCGGCCACCCCTCCAGGTGGGCGCGCAGGTGACCCCACCCACCCACAGCAGGGGGGGAGGGAGGGACGGGCCACGCTGACTCACTCTGGAATGCCTGTTGGGGGAATCTTTGCCTGCCACGTCCTGTCTGCTGACGTGCCTGCTCCCGGTGTTTGCACCCATGGCCGAGAGGCGGGACTGGGATGGCACGTGCCACAGGGGCTCTGCAGGGAAGAAGAAGAGCCTGGGGTTAGGGGGTTACTGGGGCACGGCGCCCTGGCACCTGCCCCCAACGGCTGCCTGTCCTTGATCCCCTCCCATCTCTCCTCGTCTCGGCTGCTCTGCACTGGGCACCTCAGAGGGAAAACTGAGACACTGTCCCTCACCTGCCCTGGGGAGACTCCAAGGAAGGAGAGAAACACAGGACGGCACAGTCAGAACTCCAAGGGGACGCAGGGACCATGTGGCAAATTACCATCACGCTCCTGAATCAACCTCAGCTTACGTGCACATACACAGTAAACTCTAGAATTTACTGACTTTTAAAATTTGTTATTTTATTTTCCCCCCAATTATTTATAAAAACACATTCTGTTTAACATTTGTTTTTTTAAAATTTTGAGTTCCAAATTTTCTCCCTCCCTTCCTGCCCTCCCCCCACTGAGAAAGCAAAGCAATTTGCTACAGGTTATACATGTGCAGTCTCACAAAATATTTCCACGTTAGTCATGTCATGAAAGAAAACGCAGAAGAAAAATCCCAAGGAAAAAAAAGAAAATTGGCTGCCTTTTAAAAAGCCACTTTTACTGCTCTTTTGTCCCGCCATCACCTACACTTCCCAAGCCATTCAGAGCCATCCCTTCCAAGGAAGCAGGAGGATAGGAAAGAGAAAAAGAAAGTTCTGCCAAACTAAAGAACAGTAAACCCATGAATGCTGATTTATGTCCTTTCCTCCTGAATAGGGAGTGCAGCAAGAGGTGTGGAAAGGCACGGGGCATGGGGGCTCGAGGCTGGGGGAGCCCTGAGCTGGCCCAACCATCTCATTTTACAGCAGAGGAAGCAGACTCAAACAAGGTACAGCATTAAGCTAAGGTTATAGAGGAATTCTTGTTTTTAAGCAGACCTATGATTTTATCAGTTACAGGGAATGAGCTCAGTGTTAAACCTTCAAGGTTACTCAGAATCTTAAGAGCTGCCTAGCGTACTGGGAGAGCAAATGACTTGTCCGGGCTTACACAATGCCTCTGTGTGTTTGAGGAGAGGGACCGAGAGAGAGAGAGAAGGGAGGAAGAGGGGGAGGGAGAGGGAGGAGAGAGGAGGAAAGAAGGGAGAGAGAAAAGGGGGGGGAGGAGGGGAAAGGGGAAGGGAGAAGGGAGAAGAGAAGGAGAGGAGGAAAGAAGGGAAAGAGGAAAAAGAAGAGGAGGAGGGAAGGGGAGAGGAGAGAAAGAGGAAGGAAGAAGGGAGGAAGGGGGAGAAAAGGGAAGTGGGAAGGGAGACAGAGAGGGGGAGGAGCACTCAGTTCTTGGCTCCAAGCCCAGCGTTCTTTCTCATTGCTAGGGTGCCTAGGGTCCCTTCTAGCTCTAATGAGCCCCAGCTCTGATTTGCTACCACCCAGTCATTAGAGAGAGGCAGTTAGGTGGAGTGCTTGCCCTGGAGTCAGAAGGACCAGAGTTCAAATCTAGCCTCAGACACTTCCTAGCTGTGTGACCCTGGGCAAGTCACTTCACCCTGTTTGTCTCAGTTTCCTCATCTGTAAAATGAACAGGAGAAGAAAATGGCAAACTACTCCAGTATCTTTGCCAAGAAAACCCCAAATGGAGCCATGAGGGGTTGGACACGGCTGAAAACGACTCAAGAATAACAACAAATCTGTAAGTGAGAACACCCCTGAATCTCACAAGGAGCAGACCTCCCGCCCTGGGCCAGTGCCTCGCTCCCCTTGGCAGTGGTTAGCTTTCACAACTGAAGCCTGCGCTGGCTTCTGGACAGTCAGAGACACGGCCAGCATCATGGCATCTGTCCAAGCCTGGTTTGGTGTAGTAATACACAACAGTATTGATCAAGAGCGTTAAAGCTTAAACGGCTTTGTGGAGATGACCTCATGGGTCTCATCACAACCCTGTGGAATAAATGCTCTTATTAACCCCATGTGACCTTGGAAGAAGCTCAGGCCCAGAGCTAGTAAATATTAGGGCTGGGACTTGAACCCAGATCTTCTGGACTTCAAATCCTGCCCTATTTCAAGACCGTGATGCCACTGTGGAGAGAAGGACTGGAAGGTATGCAGATGGGGATATCCTCTCCAGTCCCTCTCTGGGGTCTCTCTGTAGATAAGCCCCTCCCCACCTGATACAACAACTCTGCGGCAACAAGACCGAGCACGATCACATGAAAACACTGAGGCTCACAGAGGTTTTAATGACTGGCACTGAAGTCTCAGAGGCAGCACTGAAACCCAGGGCTCAGCGCTCTCGGCCCTCCTCCATCTTGGTTGGGTACCTGAGCAGGCAGCATGCTGGCCCTGATCCAATCTTGCAGCCAAGGCCTTCTTGGGATTGCTGAGAGACTGTAGGAGGTAAACACCCTCACCATCCTGGGAACACCATGAAGCCCGTGCCACTGGTGTGTCCACAGGCACCGGGGGGAGGCCCAGCACCAGGGACGCCTGCCTTCTGGTCTGGGAGGGGCTTGGCTGTCGGGACCTTGTCAAGGGAGCAACATGGAGACGGAGCAAAGGCCCATCCCATTGCTGGTTACGTGGTGGCCTGTCTGCTGAAGGGATCAGCATGGCGCACAGAGCAAAGGCCCATCCCATTGCTGGTTACGTGGTGGCCCGTCTGCTGAAGGGATCAGCATGGCGCACAGAGCGAAGGGCCATCCCATTGCTGGTTACGTGGTGGCCCGTCTGCTGAAGGGATCAGCATGGCGCACAGAGCAACGGGCCATCCCATTGCTGGTTACGTGGTGGCCTGTCTGGGAGGTGGGACCAAAGAGAAGCAGGCCAGGTCCAAAGTGAGTGCAGTTGGGCTACTCTGGCTTGACGGCTGCAGCTGAATGAAGCCTTTGTGAGCAGCAGGTGCAAAGATAAGAAACTGAGTCCAGGGAAAGCGCAGGCGGGGTAGGAGTGGGAAGGGCAGGGGGCTAAGTCCAACTCTGAGTCCCTTGTTCCTTAGGCAAGTCTGCATCCGATGATTTACTAGGCTCTTGGAAGCAAGACTCTCACCAAGGAACAGGGAGGACGAAGTCTAAATGTGAGTACTGGCCAGAAGATGACCACGGCCTCGCACCAGGATCAGTGATCTGAGTAGGAGAAATGGACTGGACTCTCCCACCCTTCCTCAGGTGACGGGACAGGAGATCAAAGGAAGTGTGGAGGATGGGGGGGTATAGCTCTCTTTCCATCCCCCAGATGAACTCAGGAGACACCTTACTCACCTGAGGGGCAGCTAGGCTGGGCTTTCTGGCCTGGAGTCAGGGCCACAGAATGTGGAAGGAGCTAACAGTGGCCCAAAGGCCACCCGGGGGCCCGCAGTTCTAGATTCCTGAGGGATAACTTCAGTTTCCTCATCTGTAAAATGGGGGTGAGGATAGCCAGCACCCAACTTTCCGGGTTGTTGGTGAGGATCAGATGAGATCCTATTTGCAAACCCAAAGATGCTGTACAGACACCAGCGATGATTATTACTGTTGCTGTGGTTTTATTGTTATTCAAGGAGGATCTGAGAGAACCGTGTTACGGAGACGAGGATGGCTTCCGACTCCGTCTCCATCTGGGCCAGGACGAGCCCCTCTCCAAGCAGATGGAGACTCTCCAGGCCTCCAATCACTCTGGCCCTCACTAACGCACAGACCTGCTCCATCTTTTGGTGGATGCGCTCGGGACCCTCCAAGGATGGCAGCCCAGCCACGCACACAGGACGGGCCAAAGAGATGAGGCTGGGCTTCTGCTGAGGGTTTGTGGGAAGGAGGTGAACAAAAGAGGATACCCAGAGCTAGCTTCAAAGTCAGGGGTGTCCTGGTTCTCCCGAAGGCCTTTCATGCCAGGCAGGGCTGAACAAAAGGGTGGCCTGGTGGCTATCTGCTAGGGCCAAACGTGCCCCAATTCTCTGGTTTTCCAAATGGGACGAGCCTGCTCCTCACTGTCCTGAGTACGAAGGTGGCCAGGCCCACGGCTAGGGGCTGCCTTGGTTCCTGGGGCCCTCCCCAAAGTGCTCCATCAACAGGCTCTCAAAGGCTCAGAGCCACGACTTCCCTCTCTGGCAGGCTGAGGACTGGCCTTGTCCCCACGGGCTTCCTCCAGGTGGACCCCCTGGGCCCGAGGTTGCCTTGCTTGGCTGGCCCCGGATGCAGGGAATAGGTTTTCTGTGCTGTGGGCTCCATGGCTTCCTCCCTCTGGGGAAGCCCCTACAGATGAAGCCAGATGGCTCTGCCCCGGAGACTCCGGGCCATGACATCCTGCCCGTCAGGGCTGGGAGAAGAAAGGGAGACAGGAGCAAAACAAGCCTCTTTAATCATCCGTGCCTGCAGCAGGGACATGGCTGAGGGAAGGGCCAGGGCCACAGGCAGGCAGCTCGCTGGAGGAGGCGATGCCAGGCAATGCTGGACCTTTCCCTCCCGGGCTCCGGAGCGTCACCCCATACAGAGAAATAGCACCATGCAATTAGCAGCCGGGAAGGATGCCGCTATCAGGATGGTTCAAAGCAGCCCCTCACGGACCTGACCGACGGTGATGGGTGGCTGGGGAAGGGGCACTGCCAAACCCATCCCTACTCGCCTGCCCCCCGCAGAGTCCTTTCTTCCCATCAACCCTACAAGAGAGTGACTGCAAATGTCACTATCACCATTTTACAGATGGGTAAACTGTTGCTCAGACTGGCCAGGACACAGCTAAAAGTGGAGGCGCAGGGACTCGAGCCTGGGTCTTCTGCTTCTGAGGACTAGCATCTCCACTTTGGTGCCATCTTCCATCTCAAGAACCTGGGCAAACAGCAGGCTCTCTTCTGGGAGACGGCGATGGAGACCTTCACGGAGACCTGGAGGCTTTTCCAAGCCCCCTCCCAAACCACCCTGGGTGGCTGCCAGGCCCCCTTGGAGCTCAGCTCGGGGCAGGGCCTGGCTGGAACAACAAACATGCCCGCTCGCAGCATCAGTGGGGTGAAGGCCGGGCAGAGCCCAGGCTCCCTCTGCAGCAGGAGCCCTGAGCTCCCTCCTGCCCATCCCAGGAGGCACCGACCTGGCCGCACAGAGCGGCAGAAGCCACTTCCCTCTCCTTGCCCACCCTGCTTGACGTGATGGGCAAATGAGGAGCAGTGACTAAATCAGAGACTTTAGTGCACCTATCTTGCCCTAGGTCAGGGCAGGCGTTGGATGACAGACCTCAGCTGCACTGTGTAAGTGTTTCTGGAAAAGGAGATGGGCTGGTCTGAGAGGGTGAGGGAGGGCCACCGGCAGACAGACCACACCAGGCCTGGCCCCGTTCCTGGGAGATGGGGAGTGCCAGAGGAAAGCCCCGGCATGCTGAGAGGGCCTCTGAGGGCACGGGAAGAACACCAGGGAGGTGGAGCACCTGGGCTGGGACCTTGCTGGTCCCTTATCAGCGCTCATCACTTCCCTTATCTTTCAGTGAGGGGGCTGGATTAGACAGATTCCCAGTGTGCAGAGGGGGGTGGGGGGTGGGGGGAATGAACAGTCCATCCCAGCCTGGGGTCTGTGAACTTATCTGAAAAACCTTTCCATAACTGTATTTCACTATGCTTGGTTTCTTTTGTAAGCCTATGAATTTTATTTTATGCATTAAAAACCATGATTCTGAGAGGGATCCCTAGGCCTTTCCAGCCTGCCCAAGACAGCAAAAAGGTTGATTTGACATCTGTGACCCTACACCCTGCCCTCCAAACCCAGGGTGGATGAGGAGGTCCCCACAGCTGCCGCGCACACTAATGTGGAGGGTCTACACCTGAGATCAGGCACAGCCCTGGGACACACTTCAGTGGGTAGGCAGGAGGGACCCCCTCCCCTCACCTGACCATGCAGGTACGTGGCTAGTCCACGCCAAGGGCCCCTTCCTTTGGGCTCATTCTGACCAGTCTTGTTTCTCTAGAAGGGACTTTTCAGCAAGCTGGGGGTGGGTAGCAGGGTCTGGTTCAGCTCCGCCTGTGGGGCCACTTCCCCTTTGCCTCAGTTTCTATCTGAGGAAGATGTAAAGCACCATATACAATCAGGAATCTAAATCTGAACAATGGAAGCAGTTCAGTCTCGAAGGCGCCCTCGTTAAGTACAAATACCTGAGATGAGAGTGGGCAGGGTCCTGGGCGGGGGTGCAGCCAGAATTCCTGGGCAGAAGAGCAAGGACTGAACAGCCAGGCGAGGGAACACCCAAGACCTGCCCTCCCCTCCTCATCGTCAGGGCTGCAGCGGCCCGCGAACGGCCCCGGCCCCGTCTCTATTTTCACTCACCAAAACTTGATGCCAAAAAGGGGAGGGGGTGGGGAGAGTCTACAGCACTGCCCCCTCACAGAGAAACAGGCCCAGAACTCTTGTGGGCCCCGGATCACTGAGGGGGACAAGCACAGACAGCTCCCAGCAGCAGGTGAGGAGACAAAAACAAAGACGTCAGAGCTGGGGCCTTCTTCAGGAATCCAACAAAATACAGGGAGACAGGAGTAGCTACCAGCCCCGTAAGCCTCTGCCTGTGGACGCAGCCGCTCTCTCTTAGCCACGGGACTGGAATCTGGGCACTCAAGGCGACCCTGATCTCACTCACCTGAGGCCTGCCTGCCTCCTTCTCCTCTCCTCTCCTCCCCTCCCCTCCCGTCCTCTTCTCCTCTCTCTTTCTCTCTCTCTCTCTCTGTCTCCCTGTCTCTGTCTCTCTCCCTCCTGACAGCAGCTCTTAATAAGACAGAGGAGCAAACAGGGCTGGCCGGGGTGTCCTGTCCTCTGTCAGCCACTGCAGGACACGCAGTGACCTGACGCTGGGGGGAAGAACGGGAGGGGCAGGAGGTGGGGAGGAAGCAGGCCCCTCACGGCGTCTCACCTGGCTTCTGTCTCTCCATGGTGCTCTCCTGGCTGGTCAGGCCGCCTGAGGAGGAGTCGCCGCTGGACGGCCCTTCGTGGCCATAGTGGGGCTCAAGCGGCAGCAGAGGATGCTGGGAGGCTGCATATCTGTGAAGGGAACGGAGAAGCACGAGCTGAAGTTCAAGACACGTCCCTCAGGGAAGAAAAGCGCCCCACCCTGAGCAGCAGCCCCGTTCCATGTTCATGAGCAGGTTTTACATATACAGGGTTCAGACTTGGGGAGGGGGCGGAGAGCGGCTTGTGAGATCCGGTGACTAAGAAGTAAGATGGACAATTAACTCGTTGCCAGGAAGGTGAGGCTGAGCCCTGAAAGGAGCTGGCGGAAGGCAGCAGGACGCTGAAGGTGACTGACTGCCACGGGCCAGCCTGCTCTGCCCCTCCTTCCCTGACCTTACCCCTGCGCGCGCACACACACACGCACACTCACATGCACACACCCATGCACACGAGTGTACCCACACATGCACAGAATGCACGCCCACACACAAGCACCCACACGAATGCAACCACACACATACACGCATGCACATACAGCACACGCACATGTGCACCCTCACACGTACACACTCATGCACACAAGTGAACCCACACATGCACAGAGTGCACCCCCACGGATGAACCCCCACACATGCACACACAGCACACACACATGAGTGCACCCCTCACCCACACACAGACCCTCCTCAAGAGGATGACCAGAGACTGACCCAAATGTGCCCAGTGGGCCCCCTGTGGGGCTTGCCTGGAGAGGGGTGAGAAGGGAGGGTGGGAAGAGAATTCTCCCCACATAGGGAATGGAAATGTAACGGTTAGCGCAGACCTCCCTCCTAGACAAAACTTCTGTTCCGGACCTCTCTTCTGTGCTTATTGCGTCATATCTGGTATCGCTGATACCAGGTTATCAGCTTTGAATGAACAAATGAATGAAGCACTGATTCAGTGTGCCGTGAGCCAAGCTCCACCCTAAGCTCTAAGGAGACACAAGGAGAATGGCAGAGACGTCCCTGGCCTCGAGGAGCTCCCATTCTACACAAGAAGGTTTCAACAGCAGGGCAGATGGGAAGGTAACACCCACAGTCCTGAGGGGCAACAGCAAAGCAGACGGTGATTTATAGTTGTTGAGTTGTTCAGTCACGTCTCACTCTGCATGACCCCATTGGGGGGCTTTCTTGGCAGAGGTACAGGAACGGTTTGCCATTTCCTTCTCCAACTCATTTTATAGATGAGGAAACTGAGGCAGACAGGGTGAAGTGACTTGCCCAGGGTCTCACAGCTAGTGAGTGTCTGAGGCCACATCTGAATCCAGGCCTTCCTGACTCCGAGCCCAGTGCTGTCTCCATTGCACCACCCAGCTGCCCTAATTTTAATGTTATTTCTACTGATAAATCTGTTTCTGATGCTGAATGATTTGACAGCCCAAGGAGGCTGGTGGAGGGAGCTTTCTTTTCTGGGCCTTCATCACTGGGCCCTGTCTCCCCAAGGCTTGTCCCTTGGCCTAGGCTGGTGGGCAGGGGGCACGGGCATTCCCTGAGCTCTTGGCCTCTACCTGGCCTCTGGTGGAGCGGCTGTGGCGGCAGGGAGGGCAGGCTCCTTCACCACTCACAGAGGCACTGGGACCCGATCTACCCAGGCAAGACAGACAACACGTTTCTGTGGGGCGGGGTTCTTAACCTGGGGTCTGGAAATTTGTTTCTTTAAAAAATATTTTCATCTTCTCAGCAATGCAAGGATCTAAGGCATCTCCAAAGGCCTCACAATGGAAAATGCTGTCCGCATCCAGAGAAAGAACTGTGGAGTCTCAATGCAGATCTAAGCATGCTATTTGCTCTTTCTTTTCTTCTGTTCTGTTTTGTTTTTTCTTTCTTGTGGCTCCTCCTATTGGTTCTAATTCTTCTTTACAACATGACTAATGTGAAAATATGTTCAATAGGAATGTCTATGTATAGCCTATATCAGATTGCATGCTCTCTTTGGGAGGGAGGGGGAAAACATTTAAAACTCAAAAGCTTATGGAAGTGATTATTGAAAACTAAAAATAAATTAATTGATTTTAAAAAAAGGTTAAAAAAAATAAATATTTTAATCAATGTATTTCAACACAATGGCTTCCTTTGCTTATGCATTTAAAAATGTGATTCTGAGAAGAGGTCCAGAGGCGTGCATTTAGGGTTAGGGTTGGGACTGCCAAAGGGGTCTGCCCACAAAGGTTAAGAACCCCCAATGGAGGAAAAGGGCCTTAAAAAGTAAGGCAGTTGGTGTCCCACCTGGAATCAGAAAGACCTAAGTTCAAATCCAGCCTCTGACACTTACTAGCTGTGTGACCGTGGACAAGTCACTCTTCTGAGGCAAACTTCTGTTTGCCTCAGTTTCCTGAACTGTAAAACGGGGATAATAACAGTGCCTACCTTGCAGGGAGGTTGCAGGAATCAAATGAGATAATACTTGTGAAGACCTTAACTCTGTGCCTGGCACACAGTAGGTCCTTCACAAATGTTCATTCCCTTCCTTTCCCTCTAATGTGGCACAATAATTAAAGCCGATGGCGGCAAGGACCACCATGTTTATGCCACTTTATAAACAGGACCTCTCCCAATACCTCCAGCCCTTAGCACCGTTCTCTCTAATGGCTTTGCACTCACTTCTCTGTCCATGTGTTCTCCCCAGTAGAACACAAGCTCCTGGAGGGCAAGAGCATATTTCATTCAGTGCCCAGTACTGAGCACTGTGCCTGGCACACAGCAGTTGCTTAAGAAATGCTTATCACCGAGTTAGTTGTGCCCTCAGCGCCCGGCACCACGCCTGGTACAGATCAGGAGCTGACCAGATGCCTTCTAGTTGAACTGACATTGGTGAAAGCTTCAGCCAGCTGCTATGGAGAAAGCCGAAGCTCAGGGATCTAGAACTAGACCCTTGCAGGGTCAGGGATCAAGCCCCGTCTCCAGGCTGACCACCCTGGATCTTGGTGGGCCTGAGCTCCCTCCCCCATTGAGTGGGCAGGAAGCCTCTTCTTAGACTTCCCTAGGGAAGGCCACTCTTTCTTCCCATCAGCACCAAGAGGGCTTTTGTGGGTACTCCAACAATAATAACAGCTAGCGTATATAATCACACCTACTATTTGCCAGACACTGTGCTAAACGCTGTATAACTGTTATTTCATTTGAGCCTCACAACAACCCTGCTAGGTAGGTGCCTCTATGAATTTCATTTTACAGATGAGGAAACTGAGACGAACAGCAGTTAAGTGATTTGCCCAAGGTCATACTGCTGGTAAGTGTCTTTGCTGGATCTGAACTCGGGTCTTCTTTATCCAGGCCCCTATCAGCCATTGTGCCACCTCTATGCCCAACAACGAGGTAAACGGAAAGAGCCACCACACACACACACACACACACACACACACACACACACAAATGTTGCAAAGTGATGGAAAACAAGCCTGGTTCAAAAGAAGAGACATGAGAGGACATTCCAGCCCTTTCTTTGCAGAGGCCACAAGAGTCGTACATCACCTGTATTTTCAGACTTTTCTGTACCAATTAGTTATGCTGATTTTCCCCCTGTTCTTTTCTTTTTTTTGTATTTAAAAAAATACTATTTGTTATAAGGAATGGTTTTCTGGGAGGGGGAAGGGAAAGAATGCTAGAGGAAACTATGGTGATGTAAAATAAAAAAGCCCTCAAAACAAAAGGCATCAATAAAAGCTTATTAAAAAAAAAAAGGCCTGGACATTCTATTTCAAGAAACTATTAATGAAAACCAAAGGGTAATGGAAAGACAGAAAGAATTGACCAATCCCCATCTGAAAGGATCCTCCAAAAGAAAAGTCCCAGGTCAGCCAAAATCCAGAGTGCAAATTGCCTGAGAGAAGAGTTCAAGTACCAAAGAGCCTCAGTCTTGATCAAAGAAGACACAGCAGCGTCTACAATCTGAGATGGTCATAGTCTCTAAAGTTGAGGTATTGGCTAACGACCAAGAATGGAGAAAAGAGGAGAAAAGAACAGGAGAAAAGAGGCACCTCTCACAGGACAGAGGACTTACAATCGTTTCTGATGAAAAGACCAGAGATGAGCAGTGACTGGAGGGAGCAGTACGATGATGCTGTGCTAACATTCTAGGAAGGGGAGAGGAAACAGAACCTTAACGTGTTCAAAGGATATGGAAGCAGTTAAGTGTGAAACTGAAGACCTGGGCAGGGGAAACTGACTCTGTTCTGAGGGTAGAAAGAGAAAGGAAGGGAAAGGGAAGAGGACCTAGAAAGCACAGAAAGTAGAAAGGAGAAACTTGTACTTGTCCTAACTGGGCTGGGTGAGGAGACACAAACGTGGAGGAAGGGGAAGAGGGAGTGGGCATCTGATGAACCCTATTCTTTTCTGAAGCAGACAAAGGACAGGTGAACACACACCTTGGTGTAGAAACACATCTAGTTTAACAGGGATACAAGCAGGGAAGGGAATATATAACACCAGGGAGAAGGGGGGTCCCAAGCAAACCTCCTAATCCTGAAGAAGGAAGGCAATTAATAAAAAAAAGCAAAGCAGCCTGAGCATCGAAGGGGCCGCCCGTCAGTGGGGGAGCAGAACACAGGGCACTGAGTGAATGTAATGGGATATGATTCTGCCATGAAACGGACCCTGGACGGCAAGGACCAACGCAAAGCAAAGTGAGCAGGAACAGAGGAGTTCAGAGGAGGACAACAGCCAGCTGAGATAACGGCCTCCCGGTGACGAATGCAGTAGCCGCAACTGGAGGCGCGTCCCCCATCTCCTTAGTGGCTGCTGAGGGACTCACAGGCCATAGAGACACATCCCCGGTCAGACATGGTGGCTGGGAAGCTTTGTCAGGGGAGATGCTGGCACCCACCAGGGCGCTCAGTAGATGAGGCTCAGTGCTTTTTGATGAGGGTCTTTCTTTCTCTCCTTTTCTTCCTTCTCCTCTTTCAATTTTTAATAGGAAGGAGAAGAGGGGGGCTTAGCAAGAGTGACACAAAAAAGGGGAGATTAAAACATGAAATTTCTTTTTAAATGCACAGAACAGAAGGAAGCACAGACAGGAGAGTTTTCAAAAGGAATACATAGAACTTATAGTTTCTTATACAATCTTTTGGATGTTATTCTACTCATATGGAAAAGAAAATTAAAACTCAAAGAGACACAGCAATGGATGAGAGAGTATTCCGGGAGCAAACGTCTCCTGGTGTGGAGAGCAGAGCCCCCAGGCCCTTCGGGCCATGCTCCTCCAGGACCTGTTAACGTGTGGCCAGATGTTCTGATCAGCTGAGGCTCTGGACAGCGGCAGCTTGGCCCGAGTGCACAGGGGTCAGCCAGGCTGAAGAATGTGAAGACAATCTTCTCTGGAGAAGTGCCAGAGAAAGCAGACTGGGTGAAGGAAAAGGGGAACGCCGTAGGCCAGATGCCAACCTGGCCTGGGGACCTGACCCACCCTCATTAAGTAAGTAGTCAGTGGGTCTCGAGCATTCCCAAAAGGGGCACACTTGGTCTGTTCTGGTCACACTGGCCTACTTGTGGTTGCCAGTACATAACATCCATCTCATCTCCCACCTCTTTGTATTTGCACAGGCTGTAGCCAATGCCCAGAATGCCCTCCCTCCTCCCCTTTACCTCGCAGTATCACTTACTAGCTCTTCATCAGAGCACAGCTCAGGCACCAACTTTTAACAAGCCATTTCCTGGGCCTCCAGCTGTTAATGGTCTCTCCCCCGGGAATTATTTAGCAATGATTTGGGGCTGCCTTGTTTGTGTACACACAGACACGACACACAGTGAGATCCTGGCCTCAGAGGCTGCCTCACTTCCGGCCTAGACTAGCCCCGGGCACATTGACAAATAAATGCTGAAAGACAGCATGAGGTGTGCTTGAGACACAGATAGAAGCAAGAGATGAAAGCCTCCAGGTTGGCCTCCACTCAGAGGCGGATCTGACCAGGCTCCCCATCACGTCAGTCTGGCTTTGTAACCTGCCTCTGCTCCCTCTCCAGCCTTCTCACACCTGACCCCCGCTCCCCCTGTCCCCCGGCTTCTTCATCTCATAACCTGGCCTCCCATCCTCCATCTCCCGGCCTCTGGCCTCCATATCCCGACCTCCGGCCTCCATCTCCCGGCCTCCCAGCCTCCATCTCCTGGCCTCCCAGCCTCTATCTCTCGGCCATCCGTCCCCCTTGAACACTGTCCCTCCTCCGCTCAGACCGTTGACCTCCCTGGCTTCCTCCAAGACCCAGCTAAAATCTGACCTTTTGTGAAAAGGCCTTTCCCAGTCCCTCATCTCATGGCCTCTCCTCTGATCATTCCCATGACCCTGACCATAGCTGATTAGTAGTCAGTTCTTTTCATGTTGCCTCCTCCACTAGAGTATAAGCTCCATGAGGGCAGGGCTTGTTTTTTGCCTTTCTGCCAGCATTTGGCAGAGCAGGTGTTTAATTAAGTAGGTTAATTAATATACTGATTGCTGACTGACTGTGGGAGAGCTGAGCCAGGCCTAGGGAAATCCTAGCAAGGCTGCTAGGTGGTACAGTGGGCCTGGAGTCAGGAAGAGCTGAGTTCAAATCCATCCTCAGATGTTTCCTAGTCGTGGGACCCTGGGCAAGTCACTTAACCTGTCTGGCTCAGTTTACCCAACTGTAAAATGGGGATAGTGGCAGCACCTCCCTCCCAGGGCAGTAAGGAAGATTAAACAAGAGAATATTTGGAAAGCAGTGCCTGGCACACAGTAGGCGCTACATAAATGCAAGCTGCTGTTACCCAGGGGCTCCCTTCTAGCACTGCGTTCAGCACCCCTCAGTGCTCGCTCCCTCCTCCCCTGTCCTACTTCCTTCTTCCAAGACTCAGCCCAATCCCACCTTGGGCAGGTGGCCTCCCTGGCTCCCTCCCTGCCCGTGCCCTGTCTACACCTGCTCCGGGCCCGGCTGTCTGCAGGCTGCCTCCCCTACTGGCGTGTGAGCCTGAGTGAAGGCAGCGTCTCGTCTGCCCTGTGTACCGGGTGTGGAGCACGGGCCCGGCTCCCATGTCTAAAGGCTTCGCGTATGCGTGGCGGCTTCCTGACTGCCCGGTCTGCCCCAGCCCCTTCGCTGTTCCTTCTGACACCTCCCGTTGGCTCTGACGAGGCAGGGCCACAGAGCACGCACATGCCAGGCTGGCGTCATGGCCAAAAGGCTCTGGCTGAGCAGGCCCATCAGCTCACGGGCGTCGGGGAGCAGCCACACGGCCTGGTCCTCCCTAACAGGGCTGCGCTGGGCTGCCTTCTGAGTGTCTAAACCAGGCAGGACCGATGGGAAGCTCATGGATCTTAAAAATCCCTGCTGACAGAGGCCCCGAAGCCGCCTTGTTCCATGATTCCAGAGGCCAGAAACCCCTGTGGGTCAGACCCTGTGCTCGTGTGGCCCGCACTCTGTGCCTCTGCAAAACGGGACCAGACGAGACCATCCCTCAGCCTCTGACCCCCCGACCCAAGCGTGCTCTGAAGGCCCCGGAGTTTTAAGGAAAGATCGGGGAGCCATTTCTCCAGGGGCAGGGGGATGGTCCAGGAGGACGGATTCTCCCCCACTCGCTTGGGTCTGGCTTCCCAGACCAGGGTGCAGACATTCTGAGTCTCTTCCCAACACGTCTTTTGGGGCTCGTGACCCTCTTCTCCAGCCACCACCAGGCTCTAGGATCTGGTACCAAGCTTAGGGATGAATCCCTAGCTGAACTCAAATGTGGTGTTACCCTCAATGATGAGACCGCCCTGAGGGACGGATGCCACTCTCTCTCCTGCCTAGGACCCAGCTGCCTTTGCTCCCGTTTGCCTTGGGGGGTATGGGAGTGTAAAGGCTTTTGTCTATGACGATGGGTTACTGAATGGGAAGGAGCTGCACAGAAGCTGCTGCTTGATGACAGAACAGAAGCCCTGGGAAAAGCTCAGTTCCTATTGCCCCTCCAGGAGTATTCAACTGGGGGCTTTGTCTAGGAAGTGACTGTGCCAAGACATTCCTCGGGCAGGATGTGGGCAATTCAGCCATTTCCTGACCTGAGAGAAGGGGGCCAGGGCATTATTTCTGCATCACAAATGGGCAAACTGAGGCTTGGAGGTGATATGACACGCTCAGGATCAGTTAGAGTGGGTTGTGTGCCCTTCCATGGGTGGCAGGCATGGCTCTGCTCATCCCTTCCCAAATCTGGACAGGCCCTGCCCTGAAGACACGTTCTGCTAGGGGAGAAGAGGAGAGGGCAGTTCCTCCTGGAGGCCAGTTCTGGCTCTGGGCACCCCAACCCTGAACCGGGTAGACGGTGCCCACACGCCCTGAGCCTGGCGAGCAGGAGGCCTCCCAGGAAACACGAGGGACAGCCACCATGCTCCTCTTGAGCAACGCATCAGAGCGACTAGAGGCGAGGTGCACAACCACACTGGGACCCTGTCCCTCCTCTGCCAGGCAGGTCCTGATGTTTGGACTTCACACCCAGGTCCTCTCCCCCAGCCCCTCACTCTCACAACCTACTGACACTCACCTAGACACAATCACACACACACACGACACACACACAACACACACAGACATACTGAGACACATACACACACGACACACACACAGACATACTGACACACGCATACTGACACACACACACAATGACACACACACAGACATACTGATACACACGCATACTGACACACACGACACACACAGACATACGGATACACACGCATACTGACACACACAATGACACACACAGACATACTGACACACACGCATACTGACACACACACATACTGACACACACGCATACTGACACACACACACTGACACACAAGCATACTGACACACACACAATGACACACACCCATACTGACACACATACACAATGACACATACACAGACATACTGACACACACACACACACACACACACACACACACACACATACTCACTCTCTCTCACTCTCTCTCTCTGAAAGCCCCCTCCATGGTCCCAGTTGCCTCGCCCCCAGGGATCCCCACTGCCCACTCTGGGCACGCTCCACCATCACCTCACCAGGCCCGGAGGAAGAGGAAGAGGAGGCGGGGCTATCATCACCCCAGAGCCCACAGAACCCTTCATCAGGCTGAGGATTTGCTTAAAGCAAACATGTTGAATTTCCCACGTTAGCAGTATGCCCCCAGCTTAGTGACTAGGGCAGGGACTTAAGGTTCACCAGCATTTCCACATCTAAGACAAAGTCCTACTTGAATCAATACATGGTCACTCCTGACTGCCAGAGTGTGGATGTGGCCGCGTCCTGTGACGGGAGGCCTTTGCCGAGGCTAACTGAGGACCCCTCCCCCTCCTTGAGCCCTGGTGAGGGTATGGAAGCTGGTTGTGCCCACTGGGCCCAGGTTCAAGGCTGGGGGTCCCTACCTCTCTGGGGATGGCTTGTAGCGTGTGTAAGAGGAAGGTCCCCCGGAGCCTGGAGTGGAGAAACTCCCCGAAGGTTGCCGATAAGGCTGGACTCTGTCCACCCCTGCTGGTGAGGCTGGATAGGAATTCTCTGGAAAGCTGACAGGCCTAGGACGAGACAAGGGGAGGTGAGAAGAAGGAGGTGGTGTGGGTAGGGGGAAGCACCTGGGCCTAGGGGTTGGAAGACCTGGGTTTCCAGGCCCTGTTCTGCCTTAGGGAGCTGTCTGACTATAGATAACTGACTGAGCCTATTTGTGTGCATGTGTGTAAGTATGAGTGTGTGAAGTATGAGTGTAGCATAGGTGTGTAAACGTGTGGGGTGACAGACAAGGCACAGGGACAACACCATGCAAAGGTTGCACGAAGGATCACAAAGACGAGATTCTGGCATCGGGCAGCGTCTCCTCTAACATTAGGGCAGGCTGGACAAGCAGAGGACAGCTGGAGCAGTCCAGCAACTCGCCAGCCGGGGACAATTTGCAGCCACGAGGCCTTTTCTGACAAGTCCTAAAGCAAGACTGCAGGTCTCAGAACAAGCGACAACTCCAAACACTAGACCTGTCCCACAATGGGCAGAGTCACGCGTGCGATGGTGAGCTCCCTGTCACTGAAGGGGTCAAGCAAAGGCTGAACGATCATCTGTCAGGGAAGCTGCTGACGGGATTCTGCAGAGGGTAGGAAGGTGGAAGAGACGACCCCAGAGGGCCCTTCAAGCACTCAAGCTCTCAGAAATGGAGGGGACAGCAAATCAGGGGAAATGAGGTGGCTCAGAAAGCAGAAGAGTGGTTTTGGTCACTTTAGGCAGCGTGAGCCCTGGGCTTGCTGGCCACTCTGCTGTCCCAAACACACTGCAGGAGGTGGTCAGAGATACCTTCAGCAGCTCACAGCTAAAAGAAAAACAGGAAGCTGCCCTTGAGATTGGAGGGATCCTTCAGGACCCAGACCTACCCAGGGTGGGCAAGCACATGCTCTGGTCTTTGCCAGTTCTGCCTGGGCCTCAGTGACCACTTACCGTTTGCTGTGCAGTGGCTGGGTTTCCCGGTAAGGGACCCCTGGCGTGGGCTTTGGCGGTCGGCTGAGTGACTGGGCATGGCCCGTGGTCCCAGGTGCAGCCCACTTGGAGGCCTGCAAGGAGTTGTGGGAAGCAGGCCCGCTCCACTGCCAGGAAGAGCTGCTCCGATATGGGGGCCGGGCCGCCGTGCTCTCTGGCTCTGCCTTAGGCTCCGAGGTATTCATGTCACAGGTCTCCGGCCATCCCCTGGAAAGAGAAACCAGAGTTATTTCCTGCCTGGGGAACTGTAGGTGGGCCACACACCGTCACTCACTTTCTTGGAAAATCCTGCCTCGGTTCCCCAAATGTGGCTTAAAAAGGCGAGGCAGGCCCTGAGCCAACTCTCCAAGTTTTGCCTGGCTTAGGCCCAGACCCAGGGGGGGTGGGACCACCTCCAGCCTGAGGCCTGGGCAATCCAGCCCCAGAGCTGCTGCAGGGGTTCTGCTTCCTCCTGCAGCCCGTGGCTGGGTCCTACCACACCCACAGGGGACACGCAGAGCCAGGGAGGTGGAGGCCCCCGATTCTAGTGATCTAAGAAAGGAGGTCATGCAGGCACAGGTGACCTACTTTGAAGGTGGTTAACAACACCGGCAGAACAACTTAAAAGAGACCAAGGGAGGGCCCAAGCTTTGCTGGGAGCCCTCGGTGCCCCGCCACGAGGAGCCTGGCCTGGCAGAATGGGGCAACTGAGGCACCACCGGCCTCCCTGGCTCTGTTCCCTGGGGCATGAGCAGTTTCTGAGGGGAAGGGAATACGCATGTACAGAGTGGGGATGGTGATGATGTGCCAAGCACGGGGCTGAAGGCTTTACAATAATTACCTCATTTGATCCTCACCAGGGAGAGGCTGGTACGATCCCCACAGTGGAGGAAACTGAGTTTAAACAAAGTCAAGTGTTTGGGGCTGGATTTGAACTCAGGTTTTCCCAGTTCCAGGCCTAGCACTACGTAGCTGCCCTAAGGCAGCCAGCCCACCTACTCCAAGGCCCAGCTCCCATCAGTCGGGGGATGCCACTGCCCAGACAACCACTGTTAGTGGGCAGGTGTCCACTGGGGTTCACACCACCCTTCAGGGCCTGGCAACCCCAGGCCCCAGACTTCTCTTCTGATCTCTAATGGCTCTCTCTCTGTTCCCAGGGCAGCTTCAGGACAGGTGTATTCAGGAGACATCCCAAGGAGGGAAAGGTGAAGCCATCTCCTGGGTCCTCTACACTCCCCACCTAAGGCTTTCTCCTCCTCAGCTCTGGAAGCCCCCTCCCCTCTTCTGTGGAGCACTGCGCCCTCCCCCTGTGACCCCTCAGCACATCCCCGGTACCCAGGCCTCACCTGATCCTCCAGGGGGGCTTCTCATCTCCCTGACCACTCTCCCCATCTCTTCCCCAAGTTTCCTCCTACCTTGAGAATGGGGAACCCTGTGGCTTAGGCACTCCGCTCTCCCCTCACTCACGTGGCTATGAGCCTTTCCTGTCAACACGAGATTCCCCAACCTACTGCTGAGACAGCTTTGTGCCTGACAGGCCGGGTTCTGCAGTCTTTTTCAGGGTGACTTTCGCAACATGAAATCAACCCATCACAAGCAGTCTGCCAGGGCCTGGGGCTCCTCTGACAAGTCATCCCAGGGGGGGCCTTCCTGGGTTGAGAGGAGCCTGCCCCATCCACCCTGCCCACCTGCTTGGGGTACTGCCACCAGCTGAATAAACAAACGGATGCCTGCTTGAAGAATCACCCCTGCTATCTCCCCCACACACACCCAAGGGACCAGTAGGGGTGTCAGCGCCTCTGCCGTGGTGGGGCCTGAGTTCAAATCCAGCCTCACGCCAGCTATGTGACCTTGGGCAAGTCACTTAACTGCCCTCAGCCTCAGTTTACCCATCTGTAACAGGAGGCTCATATAATGGCCTCTACCTCACAGAGGATATGAGGATGAAATGAGAGAACATAGATACAGCATTTTGCTTACCCTAAAGGGCAATCCAAATGCTAGACATAATTATCGCTAGCTATTATTACCGCTAAGGGCAGCTAGCTAGGTGATGCCTAGATATAGAAGATCTGAGTTCAAATGCAACCTCAGACACTTACTACCTGTGTGACCCTGGACAAGTCACTTAACCCCTATTTGCCTCAGTTCCTCATCTGTAAAATGGGAACATGCTGGAGAAAAAATGGCAAACCACTCCAACAGCTTTGCCAAGAAAACCCCCCCAAAGGGGTCACAAAGAGTGTTACTGCTGCTGTTACCAATACCATAATTCTTATTATCTGAAGCTGGAGGAGCTAGGTTCAAATCTTGGTTTTGACATTCACTTCTCCTATAACCTTGGGCACATCGCTTCTCCACCTTGGGCCTCAGTTTCTTCACCTGTAAAGTGGGAGGGCTGGTAAGGACGGTCTTTGAGATCTCTTCTGGTTCTAGGTCTGAGGCCCGCGTGACCCTAGGAAGTGCAGGAGGGTGCCCTGACAGAGTCCTTCTTCCTGGGGAGGGAGAATTTGTTCCCAGCTCCTGCTCGCTCCCTCTCCCAGCTGATCGGGCATCTGAGTCCAGGGACAAAAATCAAAGGGAAGCATCAGATATACCAAGAGTCCCGTGTTACCTGCTCAGCAAATGAGGGCCGCTGCATGCCACCCCAGGTCCCGGCAGCCCACTGAGACTCAAAACCCCAAACGTCCCCGCTGCCAGCCCAGCCGAGCGCCCTCCGTGGGAACACGATGCTGGCTTTCTCTAGACAAACGCAGGCGACGGAACCAGAAACCTGCTGGATCAGTTGTCGGGCCAGCCTGGGGCCCGGCTTCCTCTCCACAGGCCTGCCAAGGAGGGCCCGCGAGGCCGGCCTGCCAAGGAGGGCCTGCAAGGCCAGCCTGCCTCTGGGGTCAGGTGTTCCCAGAACCGGGGCTCCCTCAGTGCCTCAGCTGTTCTCTGAGGAGCCATGAGGCCAAGTGGCGAGCCCCGATGCAGGCAGCTCGTCCAAATGCAGCAGTGTGCGCACGTGCACGTGTGTGTGCGCGGGTGTGCACGTGTATGCGTGCTCTACGTGTTTACAACAAGGGCCCAACCACCATGAGCAGTCTTTGGGTTGCATTCTGCCATCAGAGGAGGCGCGGCTTCAGAGGCTGGGGCACGGCCAGACCGGGGTCTGGGGGCAACCTGTGTCCAGGCTCTTCTCTAAGGGACCCGGCAAAGACCAAGGCACCCAGTACAGTCTGGGCATCGAGAGAGAACTCCCAGCAGCTGGCCTCCCAGGGGACTCTACTCTTGTTTCCGAGAGGGATCCAGGTGGTCCACAGAGCAACAGGTCACCTCAGGACGAGAAGTGGGAGTCAGAAGGCGGCTCTCTCCTGGTGATGGACGCCCTGGCATCATCCTTCTGGCCTCTGACAAGAGTCCCGTGGGAAACAAAACTGCCCCTTCAGGCCGTCTGTGACCAGTCTCCTGAGGGGGCTGGTTCCTGCACCCAGCCAGCTGCCCTGACTCTCAAGTACCAGAGGCAAAGGCAAAGGGGATTCCGCCAGATGGACCTAGGCAGGGGACGGGGCCGCTGGGCGAGTCCTGAGATTTCCCCACTGGCCCCGGTCAGGATGGCCCTGGCCTCGCTGGTGGCACCGCTGTAATGGTAATGCTACCAGCTCTCATTTATACAGCCCTAACGGAGACCAGCTTTAGACGACAGCGTGGCAAGCCGCTGCCATCTCCCACATCCGTGGCCGTGCCTGGAGTTGGCTCCCTGTCCACCTCTGCCATGTACAGCCCTCGGCCGCTTTGTTTCAAGCCCAGCTCCAACGCCGCCTCTCCCATGACGTCTTTGCAGAGTCCCAGAGTCACTGGGGATTCTCCACCCCGGCGGTCTGAGAGCTTTTGTGCGTATACACCATATCTCCCCCATACACAGGACGTGAACTTCTGGAGGTCCAGGGACTGGTTCACTTCTTCTGAAACCTGGCCAGTCTTCATTGCTTTCAGCACAATAGTGATTCCAACGATTTGTTGGCTAACAAGCATTTATTAAGCGCCTACTGTGTGCTGAGAGTTGCGCTATGAATGTGGGATGCACAGACAGAACATGGAAAGACTGACGTGGAATGCTACAGAGAGAAAAAAGCACAGGCAAAAGCGTAACTACATAAGGATGAGAACCATGTAAACTGAGTCAACAGAATGTTGGCCAATTAACTGCCCCTGTTGGTCAACACCCCACTGCCCAAATTAAAGGACCAGTGCCTTCCTGCTGCTCACAAACAGGGGAGGTGCTTTTAAAAGGGAACCTGGCTCAGGTGTTTTCATTCAACAGTTCTATTCAGTTTTTAAAAGTAGCCTGCCTCCTTGGGACATGCAACGTCCTGTGCTGAAGGCTGAGAATACAAGGCAAAATGCTGTCAACCAATTTAAAAATCAAACAAAATTTGGCAAACTACAGCTTCCAAGGTCCCTAATCCAGCAGTCAGTAGAGAGACCTCGCTGAACGAGGATATAACATCGGTCACATGTGTGCCTTTGGCGTGATGATCGCTGCTTCCTTTTCTACACACTCACTAAACACCCTTTCAATAGCACATTCGAGAATATTGCCAGGAACCCAAGTCAAATTCAGCAGGGAGTGGTCTGTGGCCTCTGGCTCTCCATTTTGCCTTTGACAAAGAGGATAATATTTGTCTTTCTTTGGTCTTACAGAACCTCAAAGTCCTGACAGAGGCTCTGGAATCATACTAGAGCAGATCCTTCGTTATCTTGGCATATAATTCATCTGGACCTGGTGACAAATTCATTAAAAGCCCATACATGCCTTCTGTTTCACTCCTCATCTTGGGCTTCCGAGTCTTTATCGGCCATTTTTCTGTCTCTTCCAATCCAAAGATTGCCCTACCGATTCTTCCTCTGAATCATCATGCCAGCCTATTCTCAGCTTTCCTCTCCTTCCCCATCCTAAACACCAACACAGTCACTCGCCCCCACAGCTTCCCATTATCCCACACCAGCCACTAGATGAAAGTTCCCCTCATCAGATTCTTCACCTTTTATAGGATGGAATTATCATTCACGCAAGCTAAGAAGTTATGAGTGGTTCTGTTTTAGGCAGAGAACGTATTACGGCAGATGTCTGGAAAAATGAAGCCACTCACCACTCCTCTTTGGAGCCAAGCCTGCCACTGGCTTCTTGGACACCTTCATTTCCTTTCTGTCTGGGTGGTCCGTAGGTGACTCCCATGACAACGTCATCTCTGTTTGGGGCTCTGTGGATCCATACCCAAACGCTCGCCACCATGTCATCCCTCCTTCCTCCCCCTCATCCCTGGATTTTCTCACATAGGAATATTTTCTTGGTGTACATGATGAGTCTGTCCACTTACACCTTTTATTAATCCCACTTTCCTTTAAAATCAGGCAGACCCTTTCAGGAACCAATCACGGGTCCTCTCCTGCTATTCTCAGGGCTACCCATGACATCACATCGGCCTCCTTGAGGGAGGATCTTCCGCTCAATTTGCTCGTTACCCGTTCTTTTGGGCATTTCCTCAAATTTGTGAATTTCTGATTATCTTGGCCCCACACTGTAGACACTTTCTATGGTATGAAACCCAACATAGGTGGTGGTGTCCTTCACTCTCCTTTTTATCAGGTCTAAAAGACTCCAAACAAAAGTACTATCTCCAGCCCTTGTCAGACGCACTCCATCCCTGATCTGAAGCTTGCTGAGTCTCAAGCCATGATCTCAAGTTTCCAACACTATTCTCAGATGCAGCCTTTGCTTCGAGACCCCTCATCTCCCGTTGGCAGCAGCCTCCCATCCCCCAAAGGTCCTCAGTCTCTTGGTGCAGACGTCCTAATCCTTAGCACTGCTCTCCAATTCCTTCTGGCAGTACCACTTATGCCCGCATGAATCACCACAAGTGGGTAGGAGTCATCAGTTCTGACAAGTCCTGGAGATTCTCAGTCACATCTGTGACAGATGGTCTGGGGAGACATCCGTCCTGCCCACTGGTACCATCATCCAGAATCCTTCTTTATGAGTGGGGGGCTCACAAACTGCCACCTCTCTTTCTTCTTCCTTTCGCCCTTAAGGGATGATCCTACCTGTGACACCACCTGTAGGCTTACATCCTCATGTATGGACAGGATGGACAAGCGGCTGCTTCCTCCTCAGAGTCTGGTTCCTGGCTACCTGGGCTCAAGGGTCCTCCTCGTCTTTCCCCTCTGGGTCACCCACCCTCTTTCACCACCAGCCTCCTGCCTCGGGCCAGGGCTTGTCCCTGTCTCTGCTTTGCTGTCAGACTGAGCTTTTCTTCTGTGGTTTTTTTTTTTCCTTCTTTAAGGATAACCCCTTCTCTCTTCCCAACAGCCTGGGTGTCCGAGTGCCCTGACTTTCTCTTCCAGGAGGGAAGTGAGCTCCGCATGGTGCACAGACTCCGATTACTCAGCCGTGACCAAAAGGCCAGCATGTCTGTGCTTTCTGGGATGAGAGTCCTCAGTCCTTGGCCATTCTTGCTGGTAGCACTCGCGGCCCGATCTCGTTTTGTGGAGCGTCAGCCCCGTGTTCAAGTTCTAGGATTCTTCCCCCAGGTTCTCAGCCCAATGTGACAATAGCCTCCCAAAGCCTCGGGGCTGGGTGACCCAGGCCTCCACAGCCCGCCTAGCTCTGTGAAGACCTTCTCCTGCAGGAGGTCTGGGAGCCTGGCAGTGCAAGCTCTGCCTCCACTCGATGGGTCAGGAAATGCGACGTGCACACGGCCACCCTGCTGGTGCCTGAGCCACCATCCGTTGCCTCCTCATCTAACACACACGAGGGCTGGAGAGAGGACAGGCTGCTGAGGAGCTCCCACCAGGAGATTCTCTACCATGCCCAATTCTGGGGGTGCTTAGGGACCACAGACTTACTAGAAGGGACCTTGGGTACCCTCAAATCCAACTACCTCATTTTACAGATGAGGAAACTGAGGCCAAAAGAGGTTAAGGGACTAACCCAGGGTCAGGCAAGTAGTAAGTGTCTATAGTGGGATCTGAATCCAGGTTCTCTCTCCACGACACCTCTCAGAGGACACCTCGAACCTCCTGCAGCTTCCCAACCCAACGTCCCATCATCCCACCAGGGCTCACACATCCTGCTCAGGCCTGGGGCAAGGATACCCTAGGCCAGGAGATGCCTGGGGGTGCCAGAGCAAAAAACCCAGAGCAGGGGGCAGCTGTCGGGCCTTACGCCAGCCCCCAACCTCCCGACCCTGGCCTGGGTCTCCGGCTGCGGCCTCACCTCCGAGGAGTCCCGTCCTCGAAGGGGGGGATGATGACCACTTTCACAGTGACTGAGGTCCGCAGCAGGTCGATCATCTGGTCGTGCGTCAGGGTAACCACGGCCACCTTGCAGATCTCCACCAGCCGGCTGCCCTGCCGGAGTCCCGCCTGCCAGGCGAAGCCGTAGTCCTCCACCTCCGCGACGGTGCCGTCATACTTCACGTGGAAGCCCAGCTGGCCCAGCCCATTCCGCCGCAGGGTCATGTCCACTGTTTCACAGCCACTGGTCATTACCTGGGAGGAATAATTGGGAAAGTGTTTGAACAGGATCCTGCGATGGGGTGTGCATGCATGTGTGTGTGCGTGTGTGTGCACATGTGCGTGCGTGTGCATGCATGTGTGTGCATGCATGCACGTGTGTATTGTGTGCGTGTGCATGTGCAGGTGTGTGTAGACCTGGGGAACTTCTCACTGTCTGGGGGGGTTCCAAAGACACACACAGGACCAGGGTCTCCCTAAACTCCCAGATGGGAGATTCACAGAGGAGCAAGGCTGACTTTGGAGCACTCACACATCCTGAACCTGCAGTTGCTGGTTCATTTCCATGGAAATACAACCACGGCCTCCCCCAGAAACTGGACTGTAATGTCCCCAGAGGCGGGACTCTGGTCTGGGTGGACCACAGAGCTAACCTCACAGCATCTCTGAGTCTTCTGGTAGTAAACTTCAGGGAGCCCCCTCTTTTGAAGGGAATAGCGTCCCTGGCCCTATCAGCCCAGACATCTCAGGCAGGAGGCTTCTGAGAATGTCTTTATGTGGAGACTGAAATGTGTATATTCCAGAGCTCTTCAGAATGAGGGGGCATCTAGCTCGGCCCTGGATGGAGGAGTGGTCCCCCCTGGGGGGGAGCACTACCAAATGCACAGGTGCCTGCTCATATGAGTTCTCCATAGTCCATGTGAATTTTTCCTAGCGTGAGGCTAGCCAGGAACAGAGGACACGTCTCACTTCCCCTGACACATTCCCCAGGCTCTTTACTGGATTTTGGCTTGGGGTGTGGGCAGGATTTCCCAGGATCCCCTGCCTTACACATAACCATGCAGCCCACAGAGTAAGGTTCTGTAAGGGATGATTCAGAACGGTTACTGGCATTTGGACAATAAGCAACATCGTCTGGGCAGGGAGGTCTAGAAGAGGGGACTCCCTCTCCTCAACCTGGGGGTAGGTCAAGAAGGTAGTATTCTTGGGAGAGATGTGTTGGAAGAAATGAACCCCCCACACACCTCCTAAATGCTCACACACACACACCCCCCCCCCACAATGATGTCCCAAAGAAAACTTGCAAAAGGTGAAGATGTTCTGGTAGTGTCCTGGGACACCAGACCAGGATGCAGCTGCCCATGAAACCTGCAAGTGCTCATCTGGGAACAAACTGGAAGGAGCTCTCTATTACTTAGTACTTAAGCAATGACCCAGATGAATAGACGAGCAGCAGACTCAGACATGCTATGGGGTCTGCTGCCAGGGAGAGCACCGGCAGCTGGCTGGGACCAGCCTGAGGGGCCCAAGACGATGTCACAGACAGCCCCTGTGGCAAGGACGTGGCCCTGTGTGAGGCAGTTCTAGAGCTGGCTAGCTTCAGGGCCTCCCCTGAACCCCAGTGGCCCTGTGTCCTAAGGCCCTCAGATCCCTTACCTTGAGTCTCTGGATAATTTCCCTAATGTCCTCAGGGAACCCTTCGGAGGCACGTATGGAGATGTGGTCCCCTCGCCCATAGAAGATCTTGAGTGTGGAGGAATCTGGGGTCCAGCCAATGATGTCCCCACAAAAGCAGTTGAATACCACCTCCTTGGTGCCCAGGTCCAGGAGGACGACGAACTCATTCGAAATCCCCAATATACACTCAATCTCTGCCCCTTGTGCAAAATCCTGGGCAGCCACCCTCCATGCAATGGCCCCCGGGCTGTGCTGCTCGGCGCCCGCCCGAGCTTTTGTCTTCTCCTTCTTCTTGGAGGTGAGAGAGATTAAGTTAAATTTCCCCGTGGAGTCAATGGGAGTGTTGGTCACACAGTTTTCGGCCAGGTCCTTGAGGTATTCCTGCCTTGTCCGAGTGGCCATCGTGTGGAATTTATCAGACTTGTGGGCAGCATGCTCGGCATTTATCACTTTAGCTAACAAGAAGTCTCGGAAGACATCTGATTTGCGGAATGTGACTCCATTTGGGATGGGAGGGCCAAATGGAGGGGCATCTTTGGATCGACTCACAGCCACGCTGTCAGGAAAGAAAGAGAACATTCAGCCTCATTTCACCGGGAAGAGAAATCAACTGCGAATCATTAAAAACAGACACGGAAACTAAGGCAGGGGAGATATTCATCAATTAGAGAATGGCTGCACAAATTAGAGTATTTTAATGTGACAGAACAGTATTGTTTTATAAGAAATGATGAAGAGACTGCTTTGGAGAAACCTGAGAACTGTGTGAACTGATGCAGAATGAAGTTAGCAGAACCCGAACAATTTTTGCGATCAACAGAATGGTAAAGACAAATAACTTTGAACAGAGCCACGACCAACCATGATTCCAGAGGACTGATGAAACATGCTACCCACTTCCTGACCAAAAGCTGATGGACTTGGAGTGTAGATGGAGCCATATTTTTTGGACATGGCCAGCGTAGGAATTTGTTTTCCCTGACTATGTACATCTATTTAAAGGGTGTCATCCTTTTCTTTTTTTTTTAATGGAGGGGAGAAGGAAAAAATAGGTTTCTGTTAATTGACAAAACTTCTCTCTATAAAAAGAAAAGAAGCATGACTCAATTATGGCAATGCAGACAAATGGCTATCTGAAAGATGGCCAACAGCTGCCCTCCATCTCCGGGGGACAGACCAAGAGGAGACGGATGTAGGTCAGACAGGACAAAAAATTTCCGGATGGTAAGTCTCTCCCCAGAGCTGGTGAAATTCTTCTCCAAGGGGTATAAAATTAGGGCAGATCAGCATCTGCTCAGGATAGCTTGGGATACTTCATTTTTGCCCAGCGGCAGAAGGATGAAGGTCCTTCCAAAGGTCTCTTCCAGTCTAATGATTCCGATTCTGTGGCACTCATTCCCATGGTTAAGAATATCATGAGGCAGCAGGTGAGGCAAAGCCCCAGGGATGCTACCTGACTCCTCCTCACTCCAAGCTGGCATGCAGCTACCGCTGGTAATTCAAGCAGCCCCCATCTCTCCTTACCTCTTTGGTCCATCCAGTTGGGCTCATGGAGACTCTTGAGGGACATTTTCAATGAATTCCACAAGCCCCCTTAAGACTGAAGGGATTGTGCAGAGCCAAGACACAGGCCAGGAGGGTTATGTGGGTAACAGTGATAGGAAACAATTCCCTTGCTATTGCTCCTACTGAGACTTCCAGAGCCTGACGTGGGGAGCAAGCAACGTGTGGGGGGGGGGTGTTTGCTGACCACTAACCCTGTGCAGACCTATGTGATGGCGCTGAGGCATGGGGGAGGAGGGGAGAGACCCCCTGGAGGGCAGGCCTCCGTGGTTCCTGCAGATCTGGGGTCTGCTGGAGCAGCCTGGGAGTCCAGGCCAGGCTCACAGCAATGCAATGCAGCAGATGTCTCCATCCACAGCCTCACACGTAAAGTCACCTTGTCACCCCAGGCATTCCTCTCCCCAATTGACACGCCTCCACCCAGGCTCCCTCTATGCACCTCTCCTTCCACCTCCTGATTCTAACTTATATCACGGCTCATTCAGGCTCATCCCCTCCTCAACTGCAAATTCCATGAGGGCAGGCACTGTCTCTACTTCAGTGTCTCATAATAAGTGTTTGCCGAACTGAATTAAAAGCTGTAGCTGAGAGATGCAGTTCCCACTCCAGGCAAATCTTTAAACACGAAGCTAGGAGATGTATGCTAAATCGGCACCAATTAATTACTCTTTTGTGGAAGGCAAAGCAGAGACACTCACATCCCACCCAGGGACATGATCCCTGCTAAGGACTAGCTCTCTCTCTCCTGTCTTCCCCTTACTCTCTCTCTCTCTCTCCTCTCCCCTTTCCTCCCTCTCTCTTTTTCTCATTCTCTCTCTCTCTCTCCCCACCCTCTCTCTTCCTTCCTTCCTTCCTTTCTCTCTCTCTCTCTCCCTTCCTCTCTCTCTGGACTGAACGGGGGCTGGAGACCAGCTTGTTGTACAATCCTGCCCAAAGGTTAACAGGAAACACCATTCCTCCACCTTCCTGTGCCAGCTGCTGCCAAGCCTCAGACATGCTGCTCCAGTCCAACAAGAACAGGCGGTGGGAAGACACAGATGGGCTTACCTGTAACAAACAGCATCAGTGCATGGGTTGTGAACTCGGACAATGATAAAGACGTGCTGGAAATGGGAACGGATATTCTGGGGGGTGAAGGGCAGGGCTCCAGGCTCTTGGAAGATGATGGTCACAATGTCATTTCCTATGTGTCTCTTTCTTAGTAACTAAAAGGAAAACAGAGAAGGAATTAGTCAGGAGACCCACCTGGGACAGACCAGTCCAATACCCATGCCCTCAACGGAAACTCATGGCAGCCATGAGAACCCAGATTCTAATGGTCAGTCAAGCACCGGGAGTGGGCTCTAGGGAAGAGGACAGATCACATCTTTTCTGGATGTCAGGAGAATGGGACCACAAATGGACGATGATTTGGGGCCAAAGGACCTGGCTTTGAGTACAGGTTCTGCCCTGACCACCCATGTGATCTTGGGCAAATGTCAACACCTCCCTTGGGCCACCATTCCCAAAGGCTTGGTTTCTTTGGTCGAGGAAACTGAGGCACTGGGTTAGATGATAGATAACATTTTCCCTTGACCCTAACATTCTGTAAGCCTATACTCAGTCTCTCCCCTAGTGCCACCCTAGACAAAGCAGTTTGCTTAATGAGGATATCCTGAATCATCAAATTCTATGAAGTGCTAAGGATTTTTCTACCCAAGCAAAAATACCATTGAGCTAGATCTGCCAGGCTGCCTGGACGTGCCTCTCTCTCAATGGGGGACCTTGTGTTGGGTTCCTCACGAAACCTGATCGAGATCCTGCACTCCACTATCATGCCAACACCCCCCCAAAAGTAGGTGGCCCTGCCTCCAAGTGATGGAGCCTACTTTTCTCTGTGACAAGCCAACAGCCTCACTCTGTCTGTATATGGGGTTTCATCTCATGCATCCCAGGGGTCCAAATTCTAGATTTCACTGAGCTGTCTCCCATGGTGGACCAGAAGCCCTAGTGTTCAGCACCCACCAAATCAACTCAGTCATAGGTTCCTACTAAAGTGAGACTGTCAGCAGCCACTGAAGCACCAGCTTAGCCAGGCCAGGGGGATGCAAAAGTCTAGCAATGTGTGTGTGGGGGGGAGGGGGGGAGGGGGATGTTTTCACTGGTCTCCTCAAAAATACACAATTAAAACTCAAAATTTTTTTTCAAAAGAATGTTAAAAATTGTTTTCACATGTAATTGGAAAAATTAAATATTTAAAAAAAATTTTTAATCCACAGCCAAGACTTGGATTTCTTTAGAGGAGGGGCTCTTCACTTTTCTATGTCTTGGACCCCTCTGGCAGGCTGGGAAGCCCAGAAAGCACTTCCCAGAGTCATGTTCTAAGTGCATAAAATAAAATACAAGAGACTGCAAAGCTAAGGAATCCTACTGAGATAGTTATCCAAATGTAACAATAAAAACAAAAACAACCCCCCCGAAGAGCACAGCCCCCAGGCTGAGACCCTGCTTTAGAGAGGATCTGTCTTAAGGATGGGCGATGACTTAGAAGAACAGTCGCCATCCAGGGCCCCAGTCTCTTCTCCAGCCCTGGCTGCTGGCAAATGCACACTCTGCAAACCCCAACTGCACAGACTGGGGAGTAGCCAACTGGGATATGCCTCAAATCTGAAGTCAGAGGATCCCAGCCACCAGTGCCTCCAGAGGGACTGGAAGCTAGGCCGCCCCACTCAGCAGGGGTGCCAGAATGAAGGGAGGTCAGGAAAGGCTTCTGGAGAAGGCAGGATGTTAGCGGGGACCTGCAGGAAGCCAGGGAAGGCGGGGGTGGAGATGAGGAGGGAGGGAGCTCCAGGCATGAGGGACAGATAGAGAGAGTGCCTGAGGTCAGGAGGGGGAGGGTCTCGTCCAAGGGATCAGCAAAGAGGCCAAGGTCACTAGCCTGCAGTGCACACCCAGGGGAAGGAGGCATCCAAGAAGACAGAGAGGGTGGGGGTCAGGTCATGGAGAGTGCTGAACGCCAAACTGAGGACTTCAGACTGGATCTTGGAGGTGAGAGGGAGCTGCTGGAGTTTACTGGTGGCTGAGTGCAGGTCCCTCAGCAGCCCAGGTATGAGGTGACAAGGCAGGGTGTGTACTAGGGGAGAGGCAGCTCCCCTAGAGAAGGGGGCGCTGAAGTCCACAGACTGGATACAAGGGGTGGGAGATGGGGAGGAGTTTGGGGAGACTGGGAGGAGGGTGATGCCCCCTCCAATAACAGGGAAAGTAAGAGCAGGGGAGGGTTTGGGGGGAAAGACCCTGAATTACAGCACCAGAGAGCTGGGGGCGGCAAAGGTGGGGAGTCTGTGCCCAAGGTCTGGATTTCTAAGGATAATAATAGTTAATGTTTATATAGTACCTACTATGTGCGAGGTAATAAGCTAAGGGCTTTACAATTATTATCTTATTTTAGCCTTACAACAGCCTTGGGAGATGGGTGTTATTATTAGCCCCATTTGATAGCTGAGGAAGCTGAGGCAGACAGGGGTGAAATGTAGTGACTTGCCCAGGGTCGCACAGCTAGTAAATGTCTGAGGCTGCATCTGACTCCTGGCCCAGTACCCTGGATGATATCCCACACCTTGGTGCCTTTGGCACCTTCTGGGTCGGCCCCAGGACCTTTCCTAGGGTCAAGCCCTTTTCAGGAGAGGTACTATCGCGGCTCATGCATGGCTCATGGCTCTGACAGAGCCAAAAGGGGATGGGGGCACAGGATGAGTCAAGGCCCAAAGCACAGCTGGACCTCATGAGCCCTGTGACGCTAAATGACCACTGAGGTAGCTGACTGTAGGTCAACGGCTCAGTGTCATGTTCACCTATAGCAGACCTAGGAGAGACCTTAGAAATTTAGTCCAAATCCTTTCATTTCTGAGTGGAGCAAAGTGGAAGAGGCAGCAGGCTCTCCAGGACAGGTCTCCCTCGCAGCGCCACACCACGCCATGCCACACCAAGCCACCAGACCTGCTGGACACTAACCTGCTGCCGATTGTTGGGGGTGTAGGGAAGCATGGTGGAGACGTGGAACATGAGCTCATACTCCTGGTAAGTTGTGTACAAAGAATGCGTTCCAGTGGAATCAGCTGAAAGATCAAGAAAAAAGACCCACCTGTCAGACCAATCAATCCCTTAATCACGAGGGGCCAGGCACTGTACAGAGTGCTGAAGACACACAGACAAAAGAGAAGGAACCCCTGCCCTGGTGGAGCTTCCATTCCAGGGCAGCTAAGGATACCCAAAGCAAAGGCCAGGTGACAGAGGTGGGGGCGGAGCAGGGAAGGCATGCTGGTCATCCGGACAGCCCATGCAAAGGCATGGAGAGGGGAGAGGCACTGCTGTGTGTGAAGAACATTAAGGCCAGTCTGGCTGAACCACTGTACATCAAAGGAAAAAGCGTGTTTATGAAGCCTGGAAAGGTAGGCTGGAGTCAGGTGGTGAAGAACAAAGGAAGTGAAAACAGGCCCCTGGTTTAGTCCCCAGACCCGGCACATCCCTGTGGAGCAGCACACACAGTGAATGGGGCATCTGGGGAGGCCTCCTCCTGCTCCCCAGCAAAGCCAGCTCTGGCAGGAGCCCCGGCCACGTCCACCAGCACAGGCTCCTCTAAGAGCCCTACTAGGGAAGGGGCCAACCCGCAGGGATCCACCTGAGTCTCATCAGGCTGGCAGAATCCAGCGGTCGACCTAATCCCCCCAAAACCCGCCAACCCTGGAGCAGAACCAGGGTTAAACCAGGCTGATGCCAGACACCACAAGCCTCTGAGAGCTCCATCTTATTCATCCTCCCCTCCTGGCCCAGGAAAGCATGGTGGGGATTGGGGCTGACGGATGGATGGATGGATGGACTAGAGAAGTGAGGATTCTGGATGGAACAGCCAGGGCTGAATGCCAGGCTCCCTGTCCTTTGGCATATTTCAGTAGCTCAGCCTTTCCAAGGGCACGTCCAGCTAGTCAGTGAAAACTGACCACAAAGCAGGTTGTCCAGTAGTGCCCTCCTCACCTAGACCATCTCAGTGTCCCCTGTGTTGGAGAGTTTTCTGTGGCTGATGGGCAGCCCCTCACCTGCCGGGGCTCCCCAACCAGGCCTCTGTCGAGTCCGGCTTCCAGAGGCGACCCCACTGCTTACTTTTAACATCCAGTTGTGCAGCATAGCGGTTGAAGCCCTTGAGAGAGACCTTGTCCCCAAGCACCGAGAGGAATTCCTCAAAGGCAGGGCCAGCCTCTTCATTGTTGTACATCTCCTCCTCGGAGCTCTGGCCAGCCTTACAGTACAGGATGCCGACCTTGTGTTTCCGACACAGCTGGAAAAAGAAGGACGGGCTTAGGACCGCTCAGGAGGGACCCAGCCGGGGTGACGTGACTGAGGAGGCCAGGGGTCCAACCACAGAGGAGGGGGAAAGAGAACCAGGCTGTGTCCCAATTCTCCTCCCTTCTGGCCCAAGGAGCCAGATATAGCCCTCAGTGGGCCCCACTCCCCAGCCCCACCTCACACAAGACAACCAAACCTCAGACACGAGAACTGGGGAGTTTGGTTGAATTAGACCAGGAACTCCAGGAAGGGCCCACAGATCAAGTTTGGGACCCTCTGGAAAGATGGCCCGAGGCCCAGCCCCACTGGGAGATGATCTTGAGTCCAGGGCTAGAGGCATGAGCATCCCTCGCTATGTGGCTCCTGCTCCCCCAGTCACCATTCCAGGAGATGGCGTGCCACCTCTCCCTGCCCAAGAGCTCCCTCTTTGTCTCCTCCCTCCCTACAAAGAGGGGGACTGCAGGCAATTACATGCTGGGGAGCAGGGGAGGAGCTCGCAAAGGGGCTTCCTAAACCAATCAGCCCCCAAGGTAAAACCACCGAGGGTGGAGTGAGGCCCTTGTCTTCCACCACCTCCTGAAAACGTGCCGTTTCCCAAGGAGGCAGCAGATAAGGGAGTTAGGGGGCAGGGGTGTCAGCAGCCCCTGACCTCTGGCAGCCGTGGCAGCCAGCACACCTCCCCAGACTCACCCCCTGCTCATCGAGCATCAGCAGCTGCTCGGTCACTTTGGGAGTGCTCATGGCCAGCCGCAGGCAGTGGAGGTTGAGCTCGGGAATGACGTACTCCAATGCGTCTTTCAAGGGCAGGCCTCGGCCCGTCCCGTGCTTGGTGGCCGTCGGGGTGGCGTCCTCCAGGATGGAACCCCGAAGAGTGGTGAGCTGCCCAGGGAGATAGGAAAGGGGGTCAAAGCCTCATCCCCAGGAAGGGGACTCAGAGATGGCGGAAGGCAAGGCGCTCTCGAAGGCCCAGCTCACAAAGGCCTCACTGGTCACTAGACCTCACCCTCAGGCCAGGGCTTTCTGAGATGTCTTGTCTGTGTCCTGCAGTGGCACGTAACCATAGTGGTTACTTCTGCAGGGGACTCTGGGGTTGGTGAAGTACCAGTCAGCCGGATATCTCTGGACGCTGGCCTCCAGGCAGCTCTGCCTCCTCAGCTCTGCAGCTCCCACTAATGCTGCTTCTGTGCTGACTCCCAAAGGAGGCCCCTCCTGACCACCCCAGTCACTAGTGCCTCCACCCCTGAAATCACTGGAAAAATGCATGCAGCTCCTGCCCTTACTTAGAACAGGTTTGGGGCTGCCAGGACCATCTGAGCCAGCTTCTCACTTTACAGATGAGGAAACTGAGGCCCTCAGAGAGGGATCTAGATCCCAAGTTACTGTTCTCACCACTGGGTTACTGGGGGATGCAGAATCCCCCATCAATTATCCAGAGCACAAGTGGACAACCAGAAGCCAAATGGGAAAAAAATACTAACAGCTTCTCTGCTCAGCTGAAGGGAGAAAGAGGAAGGGAGAGGAGAGGAGAGGGGGAGGGAGGAGAGGAGAAGGGAGGGGAGGGGAGATGGGGGAAGAGGGAAAAAGTGGGCACGGTCTTAGGGGGACCCTAGGGGCTCGAGGATGGGGCCCTGACACCAGGGCCAGCTCAGGGTCCTCCTCTGCTGGACATGGGAACATGTCATGAAATCCCCATTCCTTGTCCCCCAGCAAAGCTGCAGGGCCTTTCTCTTCCTGGGCTGACCCTCAGAGCTAGCTACTGCTAGCAGACCCCGGACTTCCACAAAAGCCTGGAGGCTGGGGTTTGTAAACAGGCCACATTGGCCTGGGGTGGGGGTTAGAGCTTAGAGCTTGACCCCAAATGGGCACCCTGGTCCATACACTCACCCCAATGACCTAAGCATAGGAAGGACAGCCTCCTAGGCAGGAGGCATCTAACATGCCTAGGAAGCACCACGCAGAACACATTTTCCAGGAGTCTTGTGAAGTCACACATAAAGTCTTCAGACTGAGAAGGAAGGGGGAGGTAGAAATCTACCTACGTCCATCTCCCGAGGTAGAGAGTGGTCATGAGGTTGGAGGAGGGAGACTCAGAAATTCACAGGGATTGAGAGAGGCAAGAAAGGAGATGTCAAGGCCCCCTCTGGCCCAGGCCTCAGAGGGATCTCCGAGGCCAGCCATGGGGGAGGGGGAGGATGATGGGTTTGGGGTTGGGCACAACTCGTGCAGAGGGAAGGAGATATGTAATGAGGGAGGGGCAAGATTTCAATTTTAAACAAGCACTTGGAGATCAAATCATATAAAGGAGGAAAAACAGTGACTCAAAGGGATTTCAAGACAGCGGGAGCTCTCAGTAGGGGAGGTGCAGGGATAAAAGGAAAGGCCTCGCATAGAACATGGCCCCAGGGCTGGGCTCCGAAGGATGCTGGGTTTCCATGGGGCAGGTATCGGAGCCCCCCCGAGCAAAGACGCATGGTAGGAGATGGACTACGGAGCAGGGAACCATGAGCGGCCAGTCTGACCCAAATGGGAGGAAAAGGAAAGGGAATAATGATAACAAGCTGAATTTATACAGCACTTTAAGGTTCACAAAGTGCTTGACAAACACTCTTAGGGGCAGGTACTATTACAATCCATTTTTGTTGTTCCGCCGTTTTCAGTCTCGTCTGACTCTTCGTGATCCCATCTGGGGTTTTCTTGGCAGAGATCCTGGAGTCGTTTGCCATTTCCATCTCCAGCTCATTTTACAGAGGAGGAAACTGAGGCAGACAAGGTGAAGTGACTTGGCCAGGGTCACACAGTGAGGAAGTGTCTGGAACATCTATGCTGGATCTGACTCCTATTCACAAGGACAAACTCGAGGAAGGATGGGAATCTCGGGGAAGTGACCGCTCTGTTTTAGAATTTAAGGCTGGAGAAGAAAGCTGAGAAGAGACTGACATGTTCCCTCGATGACAGATTTCAAAGGGTTTGGAGAAAAGATAGATTGGATCCTACAGACTACAATGGTCCAGGGGTTAAAACCAGCCCACGAGAGGCAGTAAGTTCCCAAAAATGAAATTCCAAAGACACAAAGAGAAACAAGTCTGAAAGGAAAAAGGGGACAGTTGTTAAAAGAGACCAGTGTGGACACACAGAATTCATTTCCTCAGTAAGAGAGAGAAAACACGTCGGAAGCGTTTCCGACGAGCCAGCTACGGGGCTAAGGGCTGGGGATGGTGGCCAAAATGCAGCTTCTCCAACCTGGGGCTGACGTTCTAAGGGGAGAACCTGAAAGGGAATGGCAGGGCTGAGGGGAGCAGACCAAAGAAGCAAAAGAAGCATGGGGGCAGAAGGCCGGAGAGCAAGTACGGCTGGGCACCACACTGCAAGCAGAAGTGAAGGTCTGACAAAGAGGACAGGACAGGCCGGCAAGGCAGGGGTGCTCCTCTGAGGCCCAGCCATCCTGGAAAATCGTTCTGAATTCAGCAGAAAAGGGATCAAATGATCGCTGCAAAAGGTAAAGGCAGAGAGAAAAAACCCCACTGATATTTGGAGGCAGCACCGCAGGAACGGGATGGATCGTCACTGCTCACCCGAAGTCCAGGAGACCAAGGGAGACGTGAACGAGGGAAGGGGACAGACCAGGAGAATGGGATCTTTGGGCTGGATGGAGCCAAACTCAAAGAGCCGAGTCAGTACAGGCCTGATAGCGCGGAGGACCAAGCACGCTGAGCTCTGGTCAGCAATGCCTGGGAGAGCGCGGTGGGCAGGAGAGGCACCGGGGACCCCAGAGGAGAGGAAGTACGGGGGCTTCATATGAGAGGAAATATCAAAGTCGCCAAGGCTGATGATGGCTCTTGACTCCGTTATCAAAAGGATGACCAGGAAGAGCCACCGTGGTCACCGAGAACAAGAAATCGCGCCTAATTAGCCTCGTTTTCTTTGCTTCCTTTTCGGACACGGTTCCAGACTGGGGACTGCAGATCCCATATGGACTCTAGCCAAGCACCAGCCGAGTCTCTCATTCCTGCTAGGAGGACGAGCGGTACAGGCTGACCGTGAGGGAGCGCTGAGATGACCGCCGGCCCCAGGGAGAGGTGGCAGAGGTCCAGGGGACTGGAAGCCCTCAGTGAGGTGGGGCAGGGAGAGCTCTGCTCTCCTCCTCTTCGAGGAAGACACTGGGGCTGTGAAGGCTTGAGGGGAGGAGACAGCTGACTCTGAGAGGAAGGTACCAACCTGGACCTGACCCAGAATGCTCTGCATGTGCATCGCCCCCAACAAATGACCTCCAGGAATGGAGGGCTCTTAGCCTCCCGTCCATTCCACTATTAGACAGCTACCATGGTTAGGAAATGTTTTTTTCAGACCATTAAGGCATTAAAGCAGCTAGGTGGCTCAGTGGGTAGAGCGCGGGGCCTAGAGTCAGAAAGACCTGAGTTCAAATCCAGCGTGCAACACTTATTAGCTGTATGACCTTGGGCAAGTCAGTCAACCTCTGCCTGCCTCAGTTTTTTCATCTGTAAAATGGAGATAATAAAAGCAGCTCCCTCCCAGGGTCGTTGTGAGATAGTGTTTATAAGGAGCTTAGCACCGTGCCTGTTCCCTCCTCTCCCCTTTCCCATCCAGCTTGTATTTCCTTCTTTGCACCGTCCACACGTTGCTCCTAGATCTTTCTGGTCAGGTCCTGTCAGATGTTCTGGCCCTTGGACCAGAACTCCCCCAGCCTGGGGCTGAGGCTCCCATCACCCTGGCCACCCCAAGGCTACACGGAGGCTCCACCACTGTGTGGGATATGGAGAACGCTGCTCCAGAACCCAAATGAACTTCCCTGGAAAAGAGCCTGGGAGCTGCCTCCCCCTTCCCATCTGCTCAGAGAAAACAAGGCCCACCCACTGACAGCTAGCTCTCTGCTGCCAGGCACAGGCACCAGGTTATCCGGGGCTGCCCAGGGCACTTCGACCCCTGGGCCTCAGAGGGGCCGACATCAAGCGGCTCCCCACCTCACACGTGTGCTGGCTACGGGAGACTGCAGCCATCACAAAGCCTCTCAGGCTTCTCTTTCCTCATCTGTAAAATGGGTATAAGAATACTTTCCTCACATCCTTCATGGGGGTTACTGTGAGGCAGGGGCTCTGTGAGTCTGGAGGGGTTGTGTCCTCCACACCTTCAACACACCTGCTTCTCCAGGAGCTAAAAGTATCATCCCCAAAATAAGGCTGTGAGGTCCTAATCACTTCACAGAGGAGACAGGAGCTCCCGGAGTCTGACTGGCTTGTCAAGTGTCCCCCAGTCATTAAATGTGGGGGGTGGGTATCAAAGCTCAGGCTTCGCCCTTCCCACCGCAGCCAACAGCCTGACATGGGGCCACCCCAGGAGATGACGGACAAGACAGAGGGACCAGCAGTGACAGAGAAAGCCGGGGCCCGGCCGTCGGGCCCACCAGGGAGACTGCTGAGGCATCTTCCGGGTCAGGGGCCTCTGTCTGTATGGCCCGGGAGCTAAAAATGGCTCTCACGTTTTTAAACAAGGTTTTGTTGTATTATAGAATGTCAAAACTGCCACGGGCTGTAGAGAAAGAGGAGCAGGCGAGATCTGGCCCGTGGGCCACTGTTGGCAGACTCGTCATCTCTGGGGGAGAGCTGGGTGGATCTGCCGCGCTGCCTGGTTTTCTTTTTTCTTTTTTTTTCAATTCAAACATGGTCAGCTTGTCCTTTATTTAAGGAGGAAACGGGGGGGGGGGGGCAGTGAAGTTTAGTGGAAAGAGGCCTAGACTGGAGTCAGGAATTCAATCCAATTTATTGTTCAGTAGTGTCTGACTCTTTGTGACCCCATTTGGGATTCTCTTGGCAAAAATACTGGAGTGGTTTGCCATTTCCTTCTCCAGCTCATTTTACGGATAAGGAAACTGAAGCAAGCAGGGTTAAGTAACTTGCCCAGGATAACACAGCTAGGAAGTATCTAAGACCAGATTTGAACTCAGGAAGATAAGTCTTCGTGACTCCAGGCCTGGCACTCTGTCCACTGTCCCACCGAGCTGCTCTAACATCAATTCAATTTAGCAAACAAATATTAGAAGTCTATAATGAGTAAAGCTGTTAGAGGCTAGAGATAAAAACACAAAAATCAGTCCCCATCCTCAGAGAACTTACACTTGAACTTATACACAGATACAACATGGATACAGATTGTCATTGTTGTTGTTCATTCTTCATTCTCAAAGAGGACCAATGACATCAGGAGGGTGATGTCTTGACTTGCAAGTGAACTGGATTTAAGAGAGGCAGAGCTGTGCAAGGTTATCAGCCTCACTCTTTCCTCCAGAGTCATCTGAGTTCATTGGCCCCAGATGCAGAGGAAGACCTTGGCCTTTTTAAGCTAAGATTTTTCCAGGTCTCAGGCAACACCCATTCAGTGATTTATGGTTAGGTAAGAATTGAACATGGACATAGAAAAGTAAAATTCAAAGCAGAGAGTTACTGGAGCAAAGGAGCAATTCAGGCAAAGTGCTCTAGGCATATTGGAGGAGAGAGATACACTTTCATCGGGGGTGGGGGATGGAGAGGGAGGACAAAAGAAGAGGGGGAGTGAGAAGGTTAAATGATATCACATACTCAACTGGATGTGATCTCATGGATTCAGGAGTTCATTCCAATGATGAAGAAAGTAACTCATTCATGTCTTCCTATCCTGGGTAATTCTTGTCCATGTTCTAAAAATTCATCACGGGAGGTCCTGTGGTTGAACCTCTTCATGTTCCACTCAAGTCATGTATTCGAAAATCAAATTTTCTATTCAACTCTGGTCTTTTCATCAAGAACGCTTGAAAGTCCTCATTTCACTGAATGACCATTTTTTCCCCTGCAGGATTATACTCAGTTTCGCTGGGTAGGTGATTCTTGGTTGTAATCCTATCTCCTTTGCTCTCCGGAATATTATACTCCATGCCCTGCGGTCCCTTAATGCAGAAGCAGCTAAATCTTGTGTTATCCTGATTGTGTTTCCATGATACTTGAATTGTTTCTTTCTGACTGCTTGTAATATTTTCTCTTTGACCTGGGAACTCTGGAATTTGGCTACAATATTCCTAGGAGTTTTCCTTTGGGGATCTCTTTCAGGAGGTGATTGGTGGATTCTTTCAATTTCTATTTTGCCCTCTGGTTCTAAAATATCAGGACAATTTTCCTTGATCATTTCTTGAAAGATGATGTCTAGGCTCTTTTTTTGATTATGGCTTTCAGACAGTCCAATAATTTTAAAATTCTCTCTCCTGGATCTATTTTCCAGGTCAGTTGTTTTTCCAATGAGATATTTCACATTGTTTTCTAATTTTTCATTCTTTTGGATTTGTTTTACAGTGTCTTGATTTCTCATAAAGTCACTAGCTTCCAATTGCTCTATTCTAATTTCTAAGGAAGTATTTTCTTCAGTAATCTTTTGGACTTCCTTTTCTATTTGGCCAATTTTGCTTTTTAGGGCATTCTTTTCCTCACTGGCTTTTTGGACCTCTTTTTCCATTTGAGTTAGGCTATTTTCTAAGGTGTTATTTTCTTCAGTATTTTTTTGGGTCTCCTTTAGCATCACTCTCAGTTTTTCCTCTACTTCTCTTACTTGCTTCTCAAAATCCTTTTTGAGCTCTTCCAAGGCCTGGGACTGATTCATATTCCTCTTGGAGGCTTTGGATGTAGGAGCTTTGGCTTTGGTGTCCTCTTCTGGTTGTATGTTTTGATCTTCTTTGTCACCAAAGTAAGATAATATAGTCTGAATCTTTTTGCGCTGCTTACTCATGATCTCAGCCAATTGCTTGAGTTTTAAACTCTTTGTTTAGGTAAAAGTCTGCTTCCAATGTGAAGAGTGTACTGTCCTAAGCTTCGGGGGTTTGTACAGATGTTTTCAGAGGTACTTCTAGGGACCTGTAAATTTTCAGTTCTTCCAAGGTGGTATGATAAGGGGCGAGGTGTTTCCTCTCCACTGCCACAACAAACTCCACCACACAAGCATTCCTCTTAGCCCCAGGACTGCCCCTCAGAACTGTGACCCAGATCCAAGCACCCGTAAAGCAAGAGATTCCTGCCTCAGCCCTGGCAAAGAGATCCCTGCAATCCCCCTCTGATCAGTCACTTGATTCCCCCTCAGTCTGTGGGCTGGAAGCTCAGGAAACAGTTGCTGCCCCGGGCTGCACTCGAGACTTGTGGCTGAGACCTAGCTCCTCTCTCTCACCGCAGTCACAGACTTTTCCCACTGACCTTCTAAGTTGTCTTTGGCATTCAGGGGTTGAGAAGCCTGGAAATCATCACAGCTGCCCTCGATTCAGTCCTCTGAGGCCTGCTCCAGGGTCGCTGCGGCCTGCGCGCCCACACCAAACTGCGCTCCTCTCCCCGCCCGGCGCAATATACCTTTCCAATCAACCATCCAGGCTGTCTTTGGCTGGAAATTTGTTTCACTTTGTCTTTTTGTGGGTTCTGCTGCTTTAGAATTTGTTTAGAGCCATTTTTTTAGGTATTTGGAGGGCTTTGGGACAGAACTCAAGACAGTCACTGCTTTTTTAAAGGCAATTGGGGTTAAGTGACTTGCCCAGGGTCACACAGCTAGTAAGTGTCAAGTGTTTGGTCTGAGGCTGGATTTGAACTCAGGTTCTCCTGACTTCAGGGCTGTGCTGCCTGGTTAAGACAGGTCTCCACTGGGGCAGCCAGGTGGTGCAGTGGATAGAGCTCTGGCCTAGAAGTCAAGGGGACCCGAGTTCAAATCCAGCCTTAGACACTTGACACTTACTAGATGTATGACCCTGGGCAAGTCACTTAACTCTGACTACCTCACCAAAAAGCAAAGATGGGCTTCCCCTGGCCTCGTGCACCCCTCAGGCCACTCAAGCGCTTCTCCAGCTGTGGGGCCACGTCTGAGGGAGGCTGGCTGAGACTCTATAGAAGGAAAAGCTTCCCTACAACGAAAGCTGGCCCAGAGTGGAGAAGGAGTCACCTGTCTGGAGTGGGGTGAGGTCCCTGTAAGTGGGGGTCTGCAAAGAGAATGACCCCGTGATCCTATGAGCTCCTATGAGGCAGAGGGTCCCTGCCAGGTCTCGGGCCTGCGCACTGTAGGAGGGGGCCTCTCGTACTCCTCCCAGCTCTAGATTCTATGTCTCTGGGGCCTGCAACCGCAGGATTCTTAACCACTGTGTTTCACAGGCCTATCGCTGCTGGCCTGGGAGAAGGGCAGGCCACCGGCACGTGCCTCACTGGTCCCGCTGGCCATGGGGCAGAGCACATACCTCACTGGTCCGGAAGATGATGCGGTACTGATACTGCGGGCCGTGGTCCTTGTGGTCTTCCAACTTCTCCCGCTTAATGCTCACCGCCACGGGCCCCAGCTTCTCATCCACGCCAAAGTAGTTGACGTGCTCTAAGGCAGAAAAGCAAGCGACCTCAGGTCCCGAGGGCCAGCCAGGGTTCAAAGCAAACTACAGGCCGGCTTGAGAAGAGCGGGGTTCAAGCTACATCCTGGGACCCTGGGCCGCCGGTGGAACCTGCAGGGCTGGTCTCAACCCCTGAGAACCCTAAGATCTAGACCTAATGAACCGAGCCACGATTCTGATTGAGCATAAACTCCTCGAGGGCAGAGGCTGTTTCTGGCCTGCGGATGTCTTACTATGCTTACTGACTGATTACAATCAGTGCCTGTGCTCAGACATAAATGCTAAACTTGTTGGGGGAAAAAGGGGTGCGGCCCTGCTCTGGGGGCTCACCTTTCCTACTTTCTGGATCATCATTATTACTGTTATTTCTTTTGGCTTTACACTTTTTCCAAAGGGTTTTTTTTTCCCCCACCAGGAACCTAGTCTGACTCCCGCTCCCTCTTCCAATCGGAGGCAGCCTGGGCGGGGACGCTGCCAACGAGCGCAGCACCGCCCTGTCTCCCGCCGCGCCTCCAGTGCTCACCTCTGCCCACAAAGTAGTCCTGGTAGTAGCGCGCGCCCAAGTCCACGTGCTCGATGCTGTAGAGCTGCAGCCTGGCCTGGCTCCGCGGCGCCTCCCCGGGGGCCTCCAGCACCGAGATGCTGGCGTTGGTGCAGTAAGTGCCCGGGGCGGGCTCTGGCGCGCCCCCGCCCGGCGAGCCGGCCGAGGCTCGGGAGAAGCTGACATTGCGCTCACTCACACCCCCGAGCTCGTTGCGGAAGTGCGGGCAGCTGAGGAGCAGCTCATTGCTGTTGCTGTCTCCGAGGTCCTGCTCCAGATTCTCCTTGTAGTTGAGGTCCTCCGTGCTGGGGAAGGACGGGTCCGCCGACGCCGCCGACGCCCCGGTGGTCGTGTTCCGCCGCTGGGCCGCTGCTGACAGCCGGTTGGCAGCGACCTGATTCAGGTCAAACAGCATGCTCTGGACGTCGAAGTGGGCGAAGCTCTTCTGGCAGACCCAGGGCCTGCTGCCCTCCGGGAGCCTGCCACCGCCCCCGCCATCGTCAGCCTCGGCAAACGCCTTCCCCGGCGGCTCACTGTCGATCCTCGCACTCCTCAGCTTCCGGAAGATGGAGGAGTCGCCCGCATCCCCACCTTTGGCGGCCTTCTTCCGTAGCTTGTCCTTCTCCTTGGGCTGCAGCAGGAAGTCATCCCTATGGGGCTGGCCGTTGCGGATGGCTGCCTTCGAGCCGCTGGCAAGGTGCAGGTGGGAGGCCATGCCCGCATCAGCCGCGAGCAGCTCATTCAGCTTTTCAGAACCCGGCCCATGGGGCTCCGGCTTTTCGCTGCGAAACTCATTGAGAATGTCGAAAAGGCTCTGCTCCGAGACGCCCTGCACGTCGATGGACGACGTGCTGCCGTACTCCCGGAACAGAGGCAGCCCCCCCACGTACCGGGACCCCCTCACCTCCAAGGGCTCTTCCACGTCGCATTCACTGAGGGTGATTTCACTGTTGCTTCGGTTCCGCAGAGGAATAAATCCTCGGCCTGGAGACCGCGGCCACCCATCCTGGAACTCAACATCCTTGGACCTCCTACGTGATAAGCGGTGGAAAGCTCGAGACCCCGACGCCCTGGAGCCAATGGGGAGGGCTTGGCCGTTCTGAGAGGGCCTGAGCAGGAGGCCCTCTCTCCCAGCTTTGGCACTGTCCACGTTCTGGGCCGGGATGGAACTAGCCTGGTCCTTCACAGCCTCTCGCTTCGGAGGCCAGTCGGCCACCCTGGCACGCACTCCCATCTTGGGCATCGCAGGGGTCGTGGCACTGGAGCGCGATGCTACTGCGTTCTCGCTGGCAGGGGGGCCAGGCTGCGGCGAGCTACCGTTCTGGGCCCAAAATCCAGAATGGAAATAATCCCCTCCGTGGGGGCCTGTGAGAGGGTCGCTCCCTTTCCCCCCTCCACCACCTCCCACATCCACACCTTCATTCTGAATGGGTCGATATGTCGTCATAGTCCAAAAATACAGCTGGGTTCTACAGTCCTCCTGAAGGCGCAGCGCATCTCTGAAGAGCCAGCCCTGAGAAGCTTAGCCACTGTTCAGAGCCCTGGGGCTGGCAGTGAAGGAAAGGTTCTCCCGACAGCCAGAGTAAAGACTGGGTGCCTCGGCCCAGGTCAGCGACATCGCTGGGGAGGGCTGCACTAAGACACATCCCAGCAGGCCAGCAGCAGGCTCACTCCCGGGGGGCCAGAGTTCTGACCTGGCTCTCTCCTTCCAGCTGGTCACAGACAAGGAGGCTCTTGGGAGGCAGAAGCATGTCCTGAGCCATCCTGTAAGGGGATAAGGAGAGGGAGAGAGAGAAACAAAGGTTATTCCTTCTCCCTCACCCCCAAAGGAACCTCAGCGGGCTTTCTTTGCCCAGTCACATGTCTGGTCTGGCCACCAATATCGAGGTGAACCCTTCTGAATGAGCTACAGAACAGGGGCTCTTACTCTGGGGACTATGTATCCACATGGAAAGATTTCTGGGGCTCAGTAACCTGAAATCTTTATTTTCACTAACTTTTGGTATCCTTTGTAATTCTATAGATTTCATCTCATGCATTTCAGCACATCATCTGGGGTCCACAACACAAAACAGGTGAAGAGCCCCTGATCTAGAGGGACCACCTACTTAATGCAGAGATTCAATCAGCTTCCAGCTTTTGGGTGGTGGAACCAAGGAAATTCTGCTGTCAGTTTCTAAAAGTATCTTTTGTTTATATGCCATCTTCATTTCCCAGCATAGCCCCCTCCACCCCTACCCTGGTAGCTATCCCTTAAACAAAGAATGAAAAGAAATCTGACCCAGCAGTTGCTCAGAGAAGTGGGACCCTGTGGAGGCCAGCCTCCAGCCCCGAAAAGAAGGTGCAGGCACTGTCATCTCTCCCGGGCAGGGCCAGGCTTGGTCACTATCATCCATTACACAGATTCTAGTCCAGCTGCCCTTATTTCCTTTCTTGCAATCACCCCATCTATTGTCCTCTGGTGGCCCTAAGTCTTCCCAGGCCCCCTCCCGGCCACTCGTCACCTTCCCTGGTTCTATGGTTGCTGTCAATAACACTCATGTCCCACAGGCCATTCAGCCAGGCTCCAAAGGACAGCCATTGACTGGGTGCAAGGCTTTGCTTCTAAAGGAAAGCACTGGACCAGTGAACTGAAAAAGGTGGCCACCTGGTCCATCCCCCTGCCTCCAGAGACAGCAGTGAGCCCCTCCCTATCCCCCTTAGCTGATTCTCTTGCTAGCAGCGATGAAGCTCACAGCCCGTCATCAGACCAGCGGGGAAGCAGAGAGGCCCACCGCAAGCCCTGGACTGGCCAGGGAAGCAGAGGGGCCCGCCACCGGCCCTGGACTGGCCAGGTAAGCAGAGGGGCCCGCCACCGGCCCTGGACTGGCCAGGGAAGCAGAGGGGCCCACCACTGGCCCTGGAAAGCAATATTCCTTCTTTAGCCCTGAGCCTTTTTTCACGTGGGTCAGACAATCCCTGCTGCCTTTGCTGTCTCTTCAGACCACTTCCTCCACGTCTATCCTATCCCATCGAACAGGTGTAGACTACTCTGCCATTTCCAAATTCCTTTTACAGATAATTTTCTCCTTCCTCACAAGCATCCTTGTGAACAGGCAGGGTAAAGATCATTACCCTCATTTTACAAGTGAAGAAAGGGAGGCTCAGAGGGGAAAGTGACTTCCTCAAGGTTAAATAGCCAGTAAGTATCAGAGCAGGTCTGGGCTCCTAGCCACCAGCTCTGAGAAGTACATCACTGAGGATTCCCAACAGTCCTTGAGTCAATACATTACTGAGCCCAAAACGGGACAGTTCTGTGCTCATTGGTACCCAGAGTGGGTGAGCTGGGGAGGCTGCTGGCCAGGGAGAAGGCTGCAGCCTCAGAATGAGAACCATAGTCCCTGTGGGAGGCAGCCTACTGGAGGGCTCAGCCCCACTCAGAAGGGAGGTCCCAGACTTGGGTATAGTGGGAAGCTTACTCTCCCTTCCAAGCCAGATTGTTTTTAGTTAAGAAAAAGAGGCACCTGGATGAGAGACCCTTGTACACACAGGCGGTTGCTGACAGATGGGATGGGGTTGGTGAAAGGGCACTGGGTGTCTCAGGAAGGTTCCATGCTACGCTCAGGTAACTCACAGATGCGTGTGCTCCCCCACCCCACCCCAAGCAGGTGCTGGGGCTCACCTCGCCCCACCCTCTTGGGGATTTACAGGGAGCCAGAAGCTGGGCTGGAAGGGACCCTGAGAGACTGTGTCACACCCTGCCCTACACCATGTTACAGCAGAGGCCACTCAGGCTCAGGGAGGCAGACAGACAAGGTGCTAAGTCAGCCCTGGACAGTCCCTCTGACCTCTGATTCCAGACTTCCCACTCCTTCCCCTCCTCTGTTTGCTGCTGCCCCTCTGAGACAGGGTCCCTGCCAAAGCAAAGGACAAAGGTCAGGATGGAGCTCAGCATCCCCCCTGGGCTGCCAGTTATGTGATGCCAAGGCATTGAGGGAAGGGGTGCTTGAGTAAGGGTAAAGCCATGACTCAGAGGCCATTCTTTTTTTTTTTTTTTTTAAAGGCAATTGGGGTTAAGCAACTTGCCCAGGGTCACACAGCTAGTAAGTGTCAAGTGTTTGGTCTGAGGCCGAATTTGAACTCGGGTCCTCCTGACTTCAGGGCCGGTGCTCTATCCACTGCGCCACCTAGCTGCCCCACTCAGGGGGCCATTCTTCACTGCCACCAGAGGCCTGTGCCCCGGAGCCGAGCCATGCAGGGCCTCACTCCTTCCCGCAACCACCCAGTATCTTTCAGCAGCCCCATCCTGCCAGCCAGGAGCCCCCCATACAAAGTAATCCCAGCTAATTAGCACAGAAACCTGCTACGATCACATCTGCTGAGAGCAGAGATTAAATCAATATTTGACAATCTTGATTAAATATGAGACATGAAATCCTATTAAAAAGAACATCTGGTGAGGTCCCACCACCTCCCTCGTCCTAGCTCTCACACAAGAAACAACAGCTCCGCTCATCCCCCTTTTTCTCCTTCTCTCCCTCCTTTTTCCTCTTCCTCTCTCCCCCTCCCTCTTCTCTCTCTCCTCCCTCCCCTCTTTCCTTTTCTCCCCCGTTTCTCTCTCCTTCCCTCCCTTTCTCCCCTCCTTCTTTCTCTCCTTCCCTCCCTCCCTTTCTCCCCTCCTTCTCTCTCTCCTCTCCCTTTCTCCCTTCCCCCTCCCTCTTTCCTTCTCTCCCCCATTTCTTTCTCCTTCCCTCCTCTTTTTGTCCTTCCCTCCCTCCCTCTTTCTCTCTCTCCCCCTTCCTCCTTTTCTCCCTTCCTCCCTCTCCCTCCCTCTTTCTCTCTCTCTCTCTCCCCCTTCCTCCTTTTCTCCCCTCCTTCTTTCTCTTTCCCTCCCTTCTCTTTCCATCCTGTTTCTCTCCTGTACCTCCCTCCTCCTCCTTCTTTCTCCCCTTCCCCCTCCCTCTTTCCTTCTCTTCCCCCCATTTCTTTCTCTCCTTCCGTCCTCTTTTTCTCCTTGCCTCCTTCCCTCCCTCTTTGTCTCTCTCTCTCCCCACCTTCCTCCCTTCTTTTCTCCTTCCTGACCCTGCTCACCCACCCATCCACCCAGGAGTCCACAGCAACAAGAGAGGCCCCTGTGGGGAAGCCTCTGCAAGGAGGAAGGAGCCTTCTCACTATGGGGCTGCTGTGACCCAGCAGGGACAGGCCAGTGCGTTCTGCTGGGCTGCCCTCCATCAGGTAGCTGTCCACCATCTGGAGGCTGGGCAGGGGCCCCGTGTCTGCTTGTGACCATAAGCGAGGAACAGAACACAAGGAAGGGAAGGACCCTTAGAGGTCCTTGAATCTAAGCCCCCTGGAGAAGCAAAGTGACTCATCCAAGAAAGGAGGGACCAAGCCTCTTACTTCCTGTTTCAGCATTATCCCCACAATTCTTTTCTCTGATGGTTCAGGAAATATTTCTGGGCCTCAGCTTCCTCATCTGTAAAATGGGGCCAGCTACGAGTTGTAGCAGCAGCAGGAGTAACAGCCAGTGTGCAAAGCCCTTTACAAAGAATATTTGTATTCTCATTTGATCCTCATGTTACGCCCATTTTGCAGAAGAAGAAATCAAGGCTCTGTGTCACTTCCAGCCACCCTGAATAATAAATGAGACAATGTGGCTGGCCTGGAGGAGGCCCCTGGTAAGTGTTTGTTGACCAAGCGACTGGCTGAGTGGGAAGGATTTAGAGGAGAATCCAGCGGAGCTGGCAGCGTAGGTGAGTGTGGAGGGCCTTCCATCAGCATCCAGCAGGGACACTCCTCGGGGTCCACCCTCACGAGCCTCCAGCGGGTGATGGGGGAAAGCGATACCAAGCAGGACTCCTGGTGAGGATCCTGGGACCCTCCCCAGCTGGGTGGCTCCTTGGGCCTCGGCTTTCTTCTCTGCAGAATGGTGGGGTGGGGTTCACAACCCCAGCCCGGGCCCTGCTGTCCCTTGACATTCCCTCTGCCCCCACCAAAGTCACATACCTTAAATACACCCCCACTTCCTGGAACCGGAGACCCTCAAGGTCAGGCTTCGACCAGCTGCCCACACTAGGCGGCCTTTTGACTCTGCCTGGTCCTGTTCTGACCCATCCAGATCCCCTCCCCTCACTTGGCTCCCTCCCTCGAGGGACTAGCTGCAACCCAGCAGGAAAGGCGTCCTCCTCTGCCCCCTACTCGCTGGGTGACCCTGGGCCAGTCCTTTCTCCAGTGTCCAGGCACTTCTCTAAAACAGCAAGTCACAGAGCAGCTGCTGACAGGGCCACAGGCAGCTTCTGGTACCAAGAAAACCCCAGGTCCCTTGGGGCCAAAGAAAAACCAGCCATCAGCAGCTCTCGAGTCTCTTGTCTGTGTCCATCTCTGCTTGGACAAGCTCCAGCTGGCTCCTCCCACTCCCCGATCCCCCCTCCAAGGAATAACCGCATCGCTCGCAATCCCCTCCCTTCTTCTTTTTTAATATTCAATTTTATTTTCAGTTCCAAATTCTTTCCCTCCCTTCCACTTAGAAGGCAAGAAAAATAGAACCCATTACACATATGCAGAGTCACGCAAAACAAATTCCTACATTAGCCATGCCCAGAAAAAAAGCAAAAAGAAAGGAGAAAAATGCTTCTATCTGCACTCTGACCTCACCAGCTCTCTCTCTGGAGGTGGACAGCACATTTCATCATTGCTAACATTTATAACGTGCATACTATGTGCCAAGCACCTGGCTAAGCCTTACAGCAACCCTGAGAGGTAGGCACTACTGTTATTATCCCCAT